GGCGCACCCCAGCCCCTCCTGCAGCGGGCCAGCTTCCTGGCCGGCCGCCAGCCCCCAGCCCCGCCAAGCTGCCCCTCTCCTATCTCAGGACCCCCGGCCTGTGGACGGGCTTGGGCAGCCGCTCTCACTCCAGGCTTGTCCTAAACCTTGGCATTCCCAGGGGTGCCCGGGTCCCACCCCGTCAGGGAAGGACAGGCCAGCCACGCCACCTCCAGGCTGAGCCCTCAAGGATGAGCAGCTCACGTGAAGCTGTCACTCACGGCCCAGCCCCGTGGAAGGGGCCGCTCGGCCCCCTGGGGAGAGGCCTGGAGTGGACGGGAGGGCCGGGTCAGTGGGGGTGCACTCCAGGGGCCTGGGAGCGGGAGGGCGCGTCCCGTGGCGGGAGTCTCCATCCCACGTGCTGCCTTGCTCCCTGTTGGCAGACTCCAGAGCTGCACGCCTCTTTGGCCCCAGAGGCGAGCTCACACCCACTGCCTGCATCTGCCTCCCACACCCGCCGTGTCCTTGCCTTCCCGGAGGAGCCACTCCAGGTCTGGGGGTCCCGCCTCGCCCCTCCTGGACACCAGCCCTTGGTCTGCTGCATCCCGCACCCCTGTATCCCGTCACATCTTCAGTACCCCCCTCCTCTGACCACGGTGGACAGCCGGTCTCCCCCAGTCTCTCCCCATGGCTCCTGATGCCGCGGTGCCCCCCAGCCACCGTGGGGCTGGCGGTCCCCACCTGGCCCCCGCCCCGCCTGCACAGGCTCGGGGACCCGGGACCATGGCGCGTGCTCCTCTGCAGGGCCCGGTGGTCAGTCAGCACTGCCTGACTTGGCTGTGGGCCGGCCACAGGGGTCAGGGCAGGCGTGGCCCGCCCTACAAATGCCGGGCCAGAGGGCAGGGCCAGACACCATGATGGCTCGAGGACCTTGGACCCTGGACTCTCCCCCCGGGCCAAGCCACTCATCATCACACTTTACGTGTGGCTCCCATCACGAGATTGACAGCTCACACGGGGACGTCTATCTCCTGAGAAATACATGAACCGAGTACTGACCAGAAGTGGTCCCTCACAGCTGCGACAGACGCAGTTTGCTCCTTGGACAGCATTTGAAGCAGAGAGAAGGGGTTCAGGGGTGGCGTGGAGGGGCTGTGGATGGTGAGAATCCCCTCCCCCTGAAAGGCAGAGATGCCAGGAAGGTACATGCAGCCGGCTGCTTGAGGCAAGCTCAGCCTGGGAGGCCTTGAGTGCAGAGTGACCACGGCAACCCCGCCCCGCCCAGCATCCCTGGGAGGGGTCGGGATGACCCGTCCTTGGTAGGAGCCCACTCCTCGCCGGGGGAGTAGCTTCACCTTGACGCTCAGAGCCTCACAGACTTTCTGAGCCCATGGTCTGGGAGCATCCAGAAAAGCCTCAGGTCTCAGCCCTAGGTCACTGCGCGTGTGCAAATGGCGGAGGCAGAGAGAGCCAGTGCGGTGGATGGCGGGAGGAGAGGGACGCCAGCTGGGGTGGAGCTGGGGTCGGACAGCCAGGTGCGGAAGGCCAGGCAGTGGTTGCCTGGAGACCGGGAGTGGTCCTGGGCAGGCAGGCAGCACCTTAGATGGTGGCTGACCTTGGGAAATGGGCAGGACTGGATGAGAAAGGAAGCAGGATGGGGGTAGGACTCTGGGAGAACTCTGACCCCTCACTGGACAGAGGAGAAATGCTTCGAACGGGTGGAGCTGGGCCGGGTTCCCAGGAGGAGGGAGGCATGGGGGCCGCTGACCAACCGAGGCAGGAAGTCATGCCTCCGCCCATGGTGGGCCCTTCATCCCAGGCGCTTTCTCCCCCCAGGGGCGCTGTATGGAAAACATTCAAGGCATTGCTCAGGCTTCCCCGGTGCTGCCAGGGGTAAAGAACCTGCCTGCCAATGCAGGAGACTAAGAGATGTAAGAGATGCAGTTACAAACCCGGGGTCAGGAAGATCTCCTGAAAGAGGGCATGGCAACCCACTCCAGTATACCTGCCTGGAGAATCCCATGGACAGAGGAGCCTGGTGGGCTACGATCCATGGGGTCGCAAAAGAGTCGGACGTGAGTGACGTGACTTAGCATGCCTGCATGCACTGGCATCTCTCAGGTTATAACCAATTGAGGAGTAATTTAGCAGCAGATACCTTTGATGGAAGCTTGTGGAAATGTCTAAAGTTTTTGTAAAAATTAAATATTAACTTTGGAGAACTCCCCCCAGCTCTTCAGAATATGGTTTTAGGAGAACAGTTCCTGGCCAGCTTTGCTGCGGCAGAGAACCCCCACCCCCCAGGGACTAAGAAGCTGCCTCCCTGAAGAAACTGCAGTCAGTTCCTCAGAGGCGAGGGCGGACAAGGAGGAGATCACGGCACAGTCAAGGTTATTCCTGCCGGAGCCCCAGTTTCCACAGCCGTGGAAGTATAAGGAAATGGCCCCCGTTGTGGCTTCCAGTCTCTGAAGAAACACAGGACCAGCATGGGGAACTGTCCCCACTGTGTGTCAATCCCCGTCCTTCCCGGGCGTGGTGCTCGGGACGGGTGTGGTGCTCGGGTTTGGGCGTGGTGCCCGGGGACGGGCGTGGACACAGCGCCTCGTGCTCCACCTCCTCGTTGGCCAGGCGGCCGGGCTGCTCCGACTCTGCCCACGGTGCCTGGCTGGACACTTCTGCACAAAGCGCGGGAGCTGAAAGCCCCGCGTGTGGCCAGCCATCTTGGTGCTGTCATCTGAGATTGCGTTTTTAATTAAAAGTCTGCCTTGGAGTATGTCAAGTACTCCTGTATTTTTGCCATTCTTCTTATCTCTATGGCAACGAAAATATCTCAACATTTACATGGACATCATATTCTCCAGCTAATGTACTATCTGAACTGTGCGTGCGCTGGGAAGGGGGCTGGCAGAGGCTGCTTCTGCAGGCTAGGATCCTGGAGTTGCCAAGACAACCAGGGGGCCCAAAGATGTCCTCGCCGGGAGCATCAAATGGGAGCTTGAAATTAATTCACTCACATGTGTTTCTGGAGCTTGTGTTGTTAATTGAAATAATAGGAATGACCTTCCGTGTCCATTCAAAGCAGCTGTCCTATTGAGGTTGTCTGTGCTATTGCTTCAGTACACTCACCTCTCAGGTAAATCTAGCATGAAAGAGCGGAATGGAAGACACTCGCGGTGCACCGTGGCGTATTGACTTGCAGGGGTGGGGAGCAGCTCTGCTTGTGTTGGCTTGAAACACCGGCAATAAAATTTTTATTTTTAAACTTCATCTATTTCTGCTCTCTTCTTGACCAGCTCTGGATCTGAGGACCTTTGCGAGCCGTCAGATGCTGGCGCCGGGCGAAGGAGCCTCACCGCCGCGTGCACTGTCCCACCGGTGCGTCTAGGCAGGCGGCGGCGTGGACATACCCACACTGTCTGCCTCACCTGGAAGCGGGAATTAGTGTGTGGCCGGGTCTTGATGATCTAGGTGGCCCAGGGTCACCCCTGCTTCGCCAGTTCGCCTGCTTCTCAGGACTCTTCCACTTGAGCAAATTACCACTCTGGGGTCCTGATGGATTTTCCCTCCAAAATGAAAGGCCTGGGGCTCAGTGGGAGCATGTGAAGATGGGGCTTTTCTCATCCGTGTCCGTGAGCAAGCCGAGGCCCAGGCGTGCTCCACACGCTTTGTCTCTGAAGAACATTCCATTCGCAGCTATGGATTATTTTCAGAAGCTAAGAATGTGAATACAGGCATCTAGAGGGAGGTGTCAGAGCATACATTCGCAGGCTCCACGCTTTAGAGTCACCACCAGCTGCAGAAACAGGGCTAATGGGCAAGTGTCAGCTGAAAAGGCGCTGACAGAGTCACTAGCAAGAACGCTGCCACCTTCCATGGATCCCCTTTTCATGCAATTCTCATGACTACATTCGACACCGCTGCCTGGAAGTGGCTCTCAACACTGTGGTCGCCGGGCCAGGAGCCAGTCCAGGCTCTGCGGCGAGGATGGGCAGGGCAGGTGCACGCCCAGCAGACAGAGGGTCAGGAGACAGCCGGATGGGGGCCTGGGGCGCCTGCAGGGCTGCGAAGCCTCAGGCTTTGCAGGGAAGAGGAAGGGAGACAGAAGTTAGCAAGAGGTGAGCTTGAAACGCTTTCACTCCCTCTCTCTGTATAAGACCAGTTTACCCACACATGAGCAAATTTTATCTTTTCCTTTCTTTACTCCCTTGCATATAGTATAATCAAGAATTGAGAATTTAATCCAGTTATCAACATTTATACCTATATGGACAAAGGTCCATCTAGTCAAAGCTATGGTTTTTTCCAGTAATCATGTATGGATGTGAGAGTTGGACTATAAAGAAGGCTGAGTGCTGAAGAATTGATGCTTCTGAACTGCGGTGTTGGAGAAGACTCTAAGAGTCCCTTGGACTGCAAGGAGATCCAACCAGTCCATCCTAAAGGAAATCAGTCCTGGATGTTCATTGGAAGGACTGATGCTGAAGCTGAAACTCCAATACTTTGGCCACCTGATGCGAAGAGCTGACTCATTGGAAAAGACCCTGATGCTGGGAGGGATTGAGGGCAGGAGGAGAAGGGGGCAACAGAGGGCGAGATGGTTGGATGGCATCACCGACTCGATGGACATGGGTTTGAGCAAACTCTGGTGGATGGTGATGGACAGGGAGGCCTGGCATGCTGCAGTCTCTGGGGTCGCAGAGAGTCGGACACGACGAGCGACTGGACAACAGCAAACCTATAGAACGAAACGAAAACAGGCAACAAAGCAGCACGTGGAAAGTGGGCAAGTGAGCAGAACTGTCTCCTGGAGTGAAATTCTGACGTCCCTGGCTGTGTTCACGACACTGGTCTAGAATGTGAAATGTGTCTGGGGACAGGGTCTCAGCGGTCCTTGTCAGTTGTGGTGCTAGCTGAGAGCCAGCGGGGCAGGGGGACTCATGCGGGGAGGGGCCGGGGGCTTCAGGGTCAGCCGCCTCCAGACCCCCTCCCGCCTGCACCCCCGAGCTCGGCTCCCACGCTAGGCCAGCCTGCAGGCAAAGCTGGACCAGCCCATGCCCTGCCTGCCGGGCACCCCCATCTCCCACAGCAGCAGTGGTCCTGGAGCCTCCGGCCACTCGAGACCAGAGGTGGGCTGCCGCAGGGGGTTCCCTCCCATGCGATTAAGCTCCAGGGTTCCGGGGACTGGTAATTACTCTAATGGTTGTCTGACTGCTGATTTTAAAGGCATTAGCAGGAGGGCTTTTAAAATGATGAGTTTTACTTTGTAGCTGCAATATGCACTGCCTTCTCATGCTCTGGACCAGACAGGGAGCTGACCTAAGCATGGATCAAGCAAAGTGACCACTGAAAAGTCATGAACGCTGCTTTTTAATTGAGGGGGACGTTTTATTCGACTAGGGGTATTTTCACCACTGGGGACTAGCTTTTCTATTTCATTCATAAAATAATGGTAAAATGTTACTTTGGGTTTTTTCCCCCCAATTTAAAACTTTTCTCCTTCCTTTTAAAAGGATTAATAAATCACTGTGGCCATGCTTAATTAATTGACTAATTATTAATTTAACTAGACCTCAATGAAATGGCAATTTTAGGCAGATTTGCTGCCACCAATAATTAAATAATAAAAGAAAAAAAAGCTTGTATTCTGGATGATATCTATGAGGAAATCACTGACACTCATAACATTTTTATTGCACTCCCCAATTCTCCTCCAAAAATTTTTTTTAAGTTTGAATGTCAACATGTGGCTGGTTTTAACACAAGGATGTGTTACTAAGCATGCCTCTGATGGCGCCCACATCTGACAATTCCATATCACGCTGGTCTGTGTGTTTTCAAAAAGAGGACGTCCAGGGGAGATTTAAGGAAATATAATCGTCAGACTCTAGGCTGGGTAGCTGATTCCAAATTGGAAGCTGGATGGTGAGCTGCAGACGAATTTGGGGAGTGATTTAGAGTAAATCATCTGGGAGCAGGAGTAAGAAAGATGCATCCTCAGAAGCAGACTCCCTCCCGCAGGAGTTCCTCCCTCCCCTGACCTGTGAGTCCGCCCAGGTTTCTGCTGCTCCTTCCGTGTCCAGCTCGTGACCAGCCCGGGTCTGCGCATGGACGTGTTTGGATGCGCGGAGGCCCTCCAGCCGTGCTTCTGTGAGAAGTGATGACGCGTGAGAAGCCGAAGGGGAAGTGTAGGCTTCAGACAGTCACCTTTCATTTCCTTTCTCGAATTTGCTAAGTTCGTTATCGCCTCACAGGGGTTTTCCTCATACCTCTGTATATTTAATTTCCTCTTTAATAGACAAACTGTCGGGGAGGTTACACAAGCGTTATTATTCAAAGGAAGGTTTATATCCCTCAGATAAATATCATAGGGAATTATGGATAGGGGTGTATTTATTACATATACAGCTGAGAAAAATGACGGTGTATTATTAGGTAAATGCATGCTATATTTAAATAATACGATAACAATCACCAAGTTTTTCCTTGGTGTCCGGGAGTCAGAATCCACAGAAAGGCAAATTAATATTTAAACCCTGCGTATAACTTTGAGGAGTCACAATATGCATAACAAAGGGAGGTGACTTTGGGCCACGCTGGGGGCACGGGGTTCCCTTAAACGGATTTACCGCGTTGGGGGGGAGGGGCAGGCGGTGCCGTCTCCACACTGAGGATAATTCCTTGGCTGTTGAGAGCCTGACCTCCTACGGTTCCTGGTGGGCACCATATAAAGTACTTGAAACAAAACAACTTGTGAACCTTGAGAGCTTAAGTCAAGGCTGCAGACACGATCCAAGAGCCGGGGTTAACTGGCTAATTATTCCTTCCCGAGCCAAAGGCGGGGCCTGAGAAATGGAAGGAGCTGGAGGCACGGAGAGCTTGGCCAAGGAGGAGCGTCTACAGGGCAGACGAGGGTCGTGTCTCAGTGACTCGAGGCGCGACGGGCGGCTTCAGACGTGCAGGTCCCGTCAGAACAAGGTCCCTCACGCGGGCTGCCGCCCTTGGTCTCATCCAGCACGTTTCCGTCTACCCTGGAGGGGTGCCGGGTGGGGCTCGGCGTTCAAACCCACCCTGAAGGTCCTGGGAGTGTCGGGAACTTGGTGCAGGCTGCCCCGCCCTGAGATGCCAGGATGCGACGTTTCAGCCTGCTGCCGCGGTCATCAGAGAAGGCGCTGGTCCTCCTCTCCTCCCTTTCCTCAGCAAGCAGACAAGAATGCAGGAGCAGCTGGCACCAGAGGCCGCGTGGTGAGGCCCACGTCGTGTCCCTAACGCAGGCACTGCTGCTGAATGTGGCGAGACGGCCTCATATGTCCCCAGAGGCCGCGTGGTGAGGACCGCCTCGTGTCCCTAATGCAGGCACTGCTGCTGAATGTGGTGAGACGGCCTCATATGTCCCCAGAGGCCGCGTGGTGAGGACCGCCTCGTGTCCCTAAGGCAGGCACTGCTGCTGAATGAGGCGAGACGGCCTCTGCATTCTTGGCGCACCTTTCAGAGCAGAGACTCCACACCAGCCGTAAGGGTTCATTCCGGGATCACGCCATCCTGGCGGTCAAAGTGTCCATCGTCCAGTCCAACCTCAATCCCAGTTAAGCCGTTCTGGGATGGTAGGACTGGCCAAAACTTTAGAAACCACCAAGAGCATCCCTCCATTTCCTAAGTAGCTGGAGTTCTAGAAAACGGGTGCCCGCTGCTGGGATTCGCTGAGGGGTCCCTACAGGACAAGGAACCCTCAAATCCAGACTCTGCATGGACAGACCTCCTAGAAGCCGCTCAAATCGCCTAACCAGTCCTGTCTGGCGTAGCAGCCCTGCTTCTGTGAACTTTTCCCACAAGAGCATCTCTTCCTTCTAATGGTTGTTGTTAATCTCTCAGGCGTGTCTGACTCTTTGCGACCCCATGAACTGTAGCCCGCCAGACTCCTCTGTCCATGGGGTTCTCCAGGCAAGAACACTGGAGTGGGTAGCCATTCCCTTCTCCGGGGGATCTTCCCGACCCAGGGATCGAACCAGGGCTGTTGCATTGCAGGCAGATTCTTTGCTATCTGAGCCACCAGGGGAGCCCTTCTAATGTTTAATCAGTAACAATTTGAACGCTGTATGTGTGACATGAAAACACAAAACACATGCTACACTTCGATAGATGATATATAAAGATACAATGTCTAATCTGTAATAACTACCTGGTAGGTTCCAGAAACTATGCAAGATTCTTTGTCAGTATCTTAATAATCCTCAGGAAAAAACCCTCCCGGGGAAATATTGTTTGTATTTTAAAAGGTGAGGAAGTGATCCTAACAAGGGTAAACGTCTGACCTTGATGGAGATGAGAAGTTGCAAGAACCGACGCCCTGTTCTGTCAGTTCAGACTCTGGCTCAGTGTCTCAGACAATGTCCTTTCTGCCCCTGCGTCTCTTCCCTTGGACTGAAACTCGGGGCCCTCACGAGCCTCTGAGCGAGGAGCGGTCCCCCAAGAGCCCCTCTCCGTCTGGCCGCTGTTCACCCACTGGTGAGCCCGTGTCCCCGACCGCTCCTCCCCTGGGCCTGCCCCCTACTTATCTCACTTAATGCTTCCAAATTGCTGCCCCGGGGGCCTAGGACCACACAGAGCCGAAGGGGGTTTGCGCTGTAATCAAACAAAACTTGCCCGCCACACACGAGCGCCCTGAGCACTTTGGCCATTCTGCAGTGGGGATCTGGCGGGGATGGTTAGCAGTGCTCATGGTCGGCAGTGATGAGTTTACTGTTCCGAGCCAAGCCGCTTCCCGAGTTCCTCGTCGTCACTTCATCCACGAGCAGCATCCCTGCGCCGGCCCCCCAAGCCTGCACCTCCCTCCTCGCGGTCCCGGCGCCCCCTTTCCCCCTCCTGTCCCCCCATCACCCACCCCCACAGAGAGACAGACGTCAGGCTTCCCGTGTGTCTGCCCCACCCCAACACCGCGGACGCCTCCCATTTCCTCAGCCCCTCACTTGGAGGATCCTCCCAGGGGTCCCCTCGCCCTGTTGAGACCCTGATGCTCTGGAGCAGAGGAAGGGGCTGGGTCCTGGGTCTGTGCCTGCCCCCCGGGGCCCCCTGGGCAGGTGGACTTGGGGACGGGAGGACTCGGGACCCTGTGAGTCTAAACAGGGCAGCTTCTCAGCGCGCCTTGTGAATCGTGAGACCCCACTGAGCCCCTTGGAGGAAATGACCATCTTCCGACTGTATTCATTCACTCAACCACAATTTATGAGTATTGGCTGACTGCGCTATTCTGTGTTTCTGAGAAGAAACCTCTTAAGTAGCTCCTCAAAGAACTAAAAGAGGGAGAAGTCGTTTATTTGGTCTCAAAATATCGTTCGGGGGCAGCTTAGACTCAACAGGAGATGGAAGCTGAGGGAAGGTCCCGGCATGGTTGTGGGAGCGCAAGGCGAGAAGCGGCCCCTATTCGGAGAGTGAGTCTGGGCTTGAGGTCTGAGCTGAGACCCGCAGGGAAGGACAGCGAGGGGGCCAGGCTGGGGGACACCGCCGCCGGAGTCTGGGCCCGTGGTGCCGGGGGGCCCGGATCCCTGCGTCCGTGTGGGTCCTTAGCACAGCCCTGCTGCCTCATGATCTCTGGGGGGCAGGTCCTCTGTCAGCACCCACTCTGCATCGCAGGCGGGAACAGAAACGCACACAAGGATGTGACAACCGGGGTGCTCCCGAGGGCTTCCGAGAGGAGGCCCCGGCGACTGCTCTGCGGCCCGCGGCCCGGAGCCCTAAGCAGGGGCAGTCCCAGGGAGACTGTGGCAGCGGATGGCGGAGGACAGCAGGCAGATCCCCCCAGGGAGACTGCGGCAAAGGACGGCAGAGACAGCGGGCGGATCCCCCCATGACGGCCCTGTAGGCATGACGGTGACTCTAGATGCCCGGCTGGCCCGTGGGCACTGGGCTGCCAGGAGTGGGCTTAGCTTGAGGCTGGGCTGGTACCAAGGGCCTAGTATGTTCTAGAAGCTGCATTTTATATACAATAATCACATCTATTACATCACAGTAACTGGGAGGCAGTGTGGTATAGTGGTTAGAGGTGTGGCTACTAGAATTAGAAAGATCTGGATTAAAATTCCACCCCCTCGCCCCTCGCCGTTGGAGTGGGAGGTTGCAGATAAGCAGGCGAGGTGCTGGAATGGTCCGTGTGGGGGTGGGTTAGCGTTAGATACATCAGGGCAAGCTCATCTCTGACTCACGTGGGTACAGGTGGCTGCATACAGAAGCGCTCGGAGCCGTGGACCTACACAGATTAGTGCACACACGCGCGTTCCTTTCCTCTGTCAGCAAAGAGGGCCCAGAAGCAATGCCATCAAGCACATTAGCACCTAGACCCTGGTTTCTCATCCAGCCTCCTAAGAGAAAGCGCTGATTCCAGGACTGGGAACTTGCGTAGGAGACATGTTATACAAGATGAACCTGGGGCATCGTGTTGGGCCAGCAAGTAAAGCCTGCTGAGAAAACCCACCCAGGAACGAGGGGCCATCACAGGACCCAGGGATGCTAACGTGGTGAAAGCTGGACCAGTTTGAGCAACAAGACAAGTAACGCAGCGTTAGCTTGTAACTCCAAGTGTAAAATAAACATTCGTGCATCCATGTGGGTATAGATGAGTGAATAGTTGCATCAATAAACAGGTGGGGAGGAGGAGCCGATCTCCCACACAGAAGGACTCCAGGTGACGTATGCAGATGGCCCTGAGCACAGCCCCAGTTCCCGAGATCTGGGCTGCAGGACACAGTGGGTGGGTGGGGTGGGGCGGAGTGGCCTTCTCAGATTCTCGCAGACCTGAGACAGCTGATCCCAACTTGCTGCTCTGGTCCTCGGAATAGTCTTCCACCTTCTCGGGTTACTCTGTTCTCTTGTGAGAAACGTGTCCCCTCTCTCCAGTTGGGTGGGAAGGGAAGTAGAAATCATGCCTGTGGGATGGAGGTGTATTTGAGAGCCACCATCAAGGCCACCGGTGTCTCCCCACTGGCTTGGCTCAGTCCGCTCTGCCATCCGTCAGAGGGCGAGGTCCATTAGCTGCCGTGCTGCGCTGGGCATTACTGTCCACGTCAAGGCAGCGGGTGCTGACCAGGGTCAGCCTGTCTGCAGCCAGTTAATGCCGCTCACTACTGCTTCCCAGTGATCGCGGGTGGCTGGGCTGTCGGATGCCCCGTGACATTAATGCCCCTTTGACCTCTGCAAGCGGCGTTGATGGGAGGACGTGAGGGAGAGAGACGTGGTCTTGTAGCCACGAGGACAGGCAGCATCGCTCCCGAGAGAGAGACTTTTACAGGAGGGCTTTTCAACAGGGGGATTTATACTTTATATTCCCGGTGGGTCAGATGGTAAAGAGTCTGCCTGCAGTGCAGGAGACCCAACTTCAGTCCCTGGGTCGGGAAGGTCCCCTGGAGTTGGGAATGGCAACCCACTCCAGTATTCTTGCCTGGAGAGTCCCATGGACAGCGGAGCCTGGCGGGTGCATTTGAAACAGTTGAGAAGCTGGCTTTTCTCACACGAGAACCCCCGAGTGTGCCCAGTAAACGCCGGGACGGCACAGCCGGTCGCTGATCGGATGATTCATCTTCACTCAGTGACACAACCACGGCAAAGGAGGGCTGGTCGCTGGCTCGTTTCTGCCTCCGAGTGCGCGTTAGTTCATTTAGTTGTCATGATAACCCGTGATAAAAGCACTCTTAGCTATTCCTGTTTCGTAAACGACAGAGAGGTCGAGCAACTTCCTTCAGGTCACGCAGAACTGGGGTTCTAGCAGTCCGTAACCACCACTCCACGCATCTTTTAGAGGAACAATTACAAAATGCTCCTAAAACTTCACAGCAGAACATTAAGTTAAATGTGGGGTGTTTGGGCGTGTGTGCCTTTGAGATCGCGTGGGGTAAGGCCTTTAACAGCAGGAGTACCCAGGGCAGTCGGACACTCCCCCGGCTTTAACGGTGGCCGGGGAGGGGGGCACTGTGGTTCCTTGGGCCCGGGACTCTGCTGCCCAGGAGTCCCGGCCAGCGGGCAGTCATGGGCCGCCAGGGAACCCACAGACAAAGGGTCCTCTTGGGCAGGCTGACCTTCTCTCGCACTGCATGGAGTTAGAGTTGTGTCTCCTCTGGATACAGTCTTTGAGTGAGCTGAGGTTGCTCCTCTTTGCCACCTTATTAGCAAATCATTATAGCCGTTTCTTTGGGATTAAAAAGAGAGGAGAGAAGGAACTTAAGAAAAACCTTAATGGTTTATACCGCAGCAATTTTTGGGGGGCTTGAATGAAATGACAGAATTGCCACAATGTTAAATTTAACACATTTTATTTTAGCAATATGCTTATCTGACCATATCTCCAAGTGCAGCCAGCGTTACAAAAGTGATTTGTGTAATTGTAGAGTCATTCACTCTCAGATGGTTCAGAATGACTTCTGAGACCACATTACCAAATTTTCAGCTTAAAAATCCCTTTATCCTGTCATGTGCGTAACTGCAGCAATATGAACACAACTGGCATTTCTCACGCGCGTGGAGAGCAAGAGAATTAAAGTCCTTTGTGCCTCAGGGCATGACCTCTTGTCTTCCTTTCCCACTGCACGTGTTTGCCAACACGTTGCCTCCCTTCTGCCTTGCGCGCCAAAGACTCCCCCACGTCACTCCATCCTTTTCCGCCGATGTTTCTACCAGGACTTGGACCGGCTGGGAAGGTGGGCGTGATGTACCTACCCCCTGGGGGGCAAGGGGTCGAGTCTGGGGGCGCCGGGTGAGGTGGCCAGTCCGGGGCGGGGGCCTCCTGCTCTGCCGTTGGCCTTTAGGTGAGCGCCTGTTTTCAGGATCCGAGATCAGATGAGATCCCAGACCCTAACGCGCTTGTTGCCGTCTGTGATCACTCATAGTAACTCAATCAGCAGCGCTCGTTACAAACATACCCGGGGCCGACTCCACACTGAGTCCCCGCAGCTGAGAGGGAGCCTCAGACAGGGAGGGGGCGGCCCAGGACGGCTCCTGCCACCTGGTGCTCTGCTCCAAAGGCTGTGCACACGCGTGCGTGCCCCAAAGGCTGTGCACACGCGTGCGTGCCCCAAAGGCTGTGCACACGCAAGCATTAACACGTGGGGTCTGTCTTTCTCCTCCCGACTTCCTCCACTCTGCCGTATAACACGGGGAGCCCAGCCTGGCACTCCGTGAAGACCTAGAGGGGTGGAAATGGGGGTGGCGCTCAAGAGGGAGGGGGTATGTGTATAATTATGACTGATTCGTGCTGAAGTGCAGCGGAGACCACCACAACATCATAGAGCAATAATCCTCCAATTAAATAGAATAATGATTAAAAGATATAGAAATGAAAAAAGCAAAGAAAACAGAATGAAGCAGAAGTGTTCCACACAGCCTGGGACAACTGCTGGCTCCCGGCTTTTAGGGCCGCTTCCTGAGAAAACAGTGCCAGGTCCTGGAGATAAGGAACAGCTTTAGGAACAGCCGCAGGCTGCCGTGCGCTTCACCGCTCCGTTCCCTGGCCATCGTTCCCTGGCTGGCCGCCTGCCGGGTTAGAGGCGGGCTCTCTCCCTGACTCGCCAGCCACGAATGCCCTCCGTGATGTCCACATGCGCCCTGCACGCCCTCCAGGCCTCTGTGTGGTCAACGGCACAGAGCTGTCCCCACCTCCCCCCTCGGAGGGGGTCAGGGCAGGCTGACAGGCGGCAGGGGGCCTGACTTATGATGGCCACCAGCCTCGGGGGTCCTGCTCTGATGGTCCCGGCCCAGTGTGGTGATGGCCGGTGACTGACGGGGAAGAGCGAACAGGAACTGCTCTGTGATTTTCTGTTCCTGGGTGACCCTCCAGGCCCCCAGCCAGCCCCTGGCTCCCCCAGGCCAGCCCCATCCTGACCTGGGCTGCGGAAACCAGAGGACAAGCCCAGCGCTGGGGAGCACAGATGTCCGTCTGAGCCTTGGGCTGCCATGGACCCCGACCCAGGCCGTGCAACCCGGCCCACACGGCCGGAGAAGGCACACGGACACAGACACAGTTCACGGCCTCGTCTCCTCTGGCCATGGTCATCTTGACCACGGTCAGTTCTTGAGGGACAGTTTACCAAATGTCCAGCTCGGACTCAGCAAGCTTCTGCCCAGCCCCAGGCCTGGAAGCTGCCATGCAGAGCCCACACAGAGACACAGCCTCTGCCTTCATCTGAATCGACTATTTCTCTCCGACAAAAGGCAAAACCCTCAAACCAGGTGACGGCTTTTGATCCAGTCCACTGTGCACTTCCTGGCCGGGTCTGTGCTCGCCATCTCTGCCTCTGGTTTTCCAGCCCTGTGAAGCAGGGGCGTGTCTGCACGGCATTGAGGGGTGTTACCCAGCAGACGGTAAAGGAGCAACCTCGGGGCTCGGGTGGGTGCTGCTGGGGGCTCAGAGGGACCGGGATAAGCAGGCCGGAGGGGACCCGTGACTGAGGACCGCTCAGGCTTCCTACCGTCCTTCCCATGGAACATCGTGACTGCCCAGTTTTTAAAAATTTTACTGGAGCTGATTTATGATGTGTTAATTTCTGCCGTGCAGCAAAGTGATTGAAGTCTAGTTCTTTTCCCTGATGGGTTATCACAGGATGCTGCCTCTATTAGCCTGTGCTCTGCGGTAGGACCTGGCTGGTGGTCCATCCTGTGTACCCTGGTTTGCATCTGCTAGTCCCAAACGCCCGCCCCATCCCCCGCTCCCTTTATTGCCATCTCTTGAGGCTGCATTTTTAGTGAGCCTCTTATGATTTCAACATGTGGAAATGTTTCCATAATTTCATAAATCAAATTTAATGATACCTTTTAACCAGCCCCCTAAGTGCCGAAGTGGTCTTCATAAAATGGCAAATAGCATAAAAGAAAGGAAACAGTCAACCAGAGGAAACTTCCGAAACGTCAGTGAGAAGTCGCGGCAGCCCCGTGTGACTGTTTCTGAATGCTCTGGAGAGCTGGTTGCTTTGCTGCCAGTTTCTCTTTGGGTCTTAGAGGTGAGGACACCCAGGTTCTGCTTCTTGTCTGTAGCTGGTGTTACAGACCCTGGCAGGAGTGCTGCTGGCAAGGTCATCCGTGAACCGCTACCGCAGACGGGGAGCTTCAGATCCTTATGGGATCTTATAAGCAGTCACCTTGAGCCCCATCAACAGGGGAAGGATGTGAGGTGCTGAGAGCTTAAGTTCGAGCTGGTCTCAGGTCCACAGCCCCTGACCCAGGAGCTGGACACCCCGGACGTGGGTGAGAGCCCTCCACCTCCGAGACCTCCGCACTCTCCACCCCGGAACCGCAATGCACTCAGACATTCTTCCTTGCTAAGTGCTGGGTTTGTGTGGGCAGGGCAATTTGCATGAGCATGTCCCCAGAGCTAAAAAGAGGTCTGATCAAATACCTGCTGAAAACTCACATGGTAAAGTCAACACAGCAAGGGAATAAGACGATGACTTTCTGCTGTTATATTTTATTGTTATAAGAGGCTTGATTTTAATGATTCAAAAGAAAAGTCTTATGCTATTTTAAAAATATTCAAACGTATGACACTAAAACTACGGTGTAACATAAACCTTGTGTAATTCTCCCCAATGGAGTGGGGGACCAAGGGTCAGGTTTTGTTAGTGCTTTTATTTTTTTTAATGAAATGCAACTAAAAGAAAAAAGGGCTTCCTTCAAATTTATAAAAGAATTCAAACCTGATGTCCAAGTCATTGTTCCTTGGTAATATTAGTCTCAATATACTATAAGAGAAGAGTTGGACACGACTGAGCCACGAGCGCTCCTACCGCTATACTATAAGAAAAAGACAGGAACTGGTTAAATAGGAAGCCCCACGCCCCACCCCTGCCTCCTGCGCCCCTGTGACATTTTTGCACACCCTGAAATGCCGAGTTGGAAGCATCGGTTCTTTCCCGCTCCGGGTGTCCAACAGTGACTGATATAAATATTTTATTAGGCGAAGCTGCAGGTTTCTGAAGATTATATGTCTTATCAAGTTGACCCTTATAATTATGCTGTCTTCTCCAGCTATGGGATCTCTTTTAATTTTGCAGTTCTTTGGTAAATATTGAACCATAAGAAAGATATACAGCTGTAAGCGGAGACGAGGGAGGACAAGAGGCATGTAAACCAATCACGATGCGCCGCGCGGGCGCGGAGGCCACCCCCGCAGGGCTCCACGTGGACCACCACCCGGAGAAGCCAGCGAGGTCGAGAACCCTCTCCCTCCGGCCTGATCCCACCCGGCCCCTGTCGCCCCGCCCCGGGTTGGACACGCCTCCCTCCTCCATCCTGCTGAAATCACCCCCCCACCCCACCCAGGGGCAGGGGAGGCTGGGGTCGCCTGGCACGCCCCGTGTGACCCTCCCCCGCCGGGGCACTGGTTTCTCCCGACCCCCATCCTGCGTTGCGCTGTCCTGCTGGGGGCAGGGAGGGGGCCCCTTAGCCCCCGAGTGGGCACGGGGAGGGGTGGTCACAGGTCAGCTGCCTCCTTGATGTGTCGGGCCCCCGCCGCGGCCTGCCTCTCATCTCCGCGGGCCCCCTGAGCCCCGCCCCGCGCTCGGCACCTTTGAAGCTTAGGAGGCCGCTCTTGGATGCGCCCGGCGGGGACCCTTCCTGCACGGTCACTTCTCTGTCGCCATCTCCTTCCTGCCCGTCGCATCCTGCTCACTTGTGCTCAGAGCTGATCACACCTCCCACACCCCGTGCAGACAGGCCTCGAGAAATGTTTATGAGCTGGACAAAAGGGCAGGCAGTGAGCTGGATGGAATCGCAGTGAGCTGGAGGCTGCAGTTTGTTCCTGCTGAATCCTGAGCAGCAGGAGATTCCATGCAATGTGCATCTCCTGCCTGACGCTAATGAGGCTGCCTTCTGCAGCTTGTGTTGAGTGTACGTCCTATGGATGGTGACGATGGGACTTCTGGTCCAGGGGTCCCCTTGGCAAGCCAGCTGTGTTCATTTTGTGAAGAGACCCACTGGGCATGGGGGGGACTGGTGGTCACTCTGACCGGGCACAGTTGGCTCGGGCAGTCACCACCACCCCGACCAAAGACCCACCCCAAGAGCGGTGTGGTCCAGGGTGGCAGGGGGTCAAAGAGAAGGCTGCCCGCAGAGGTGGGAACTTCCAAGCAGGTATGGCGACTGTCGGACGGACCACATCAAGCCCCGTACAATTGAAACAAATCTCTTCAGAAAGGAGTTGGCAAGTACCTACGATGGGGCTGGGGAGGCAGGAACCACTGTTTGCCCTCTCGAGAGAGGGCTGGTCTGGGGGTGGAGGGCTGCTCTCCTTGTGGTGTTAGCCGAGGAAGGGACAGGGTCTGCGGGAGGAGCATGGGCTGACCAGTGCCCATCCTGATGGAGGAGCTGGGACATGCGGGCAGCCTGGGGTGGCAGCACCCTGCGGTTCCTTTGGGCACTTTCAGCGACACCCTTGTGGCACTGGCCCCTGCGTGGACCCCAGCCTCAGCGGCTTCATGGGGCCCATCTGTTTGTTTTGGTGTTGGCAGCAAGAGATGAAGCAGCTGCTAAAGAAGACAAAAATGATGAGTGTCAGGAGCATGTGAGGAAAAAGCCACAGGACCCCTGGGACAGACCCCTCCCTAGAGAATCCCACCCCCCCGACTCTCTTTGACTTTCTCTTTCTCTCTCTTTTTAGTTCTAGAATTTAGGATTTTGACCTTGCCCCAAAGTGGCTGAAGCAAAGATTGTGATAAAACATCTTGCTTTCCCCCTGTATATTGTTCATTCATAGAAACACAATTGATTTTTATATGTTTATCTAACATCTTGTGACCTTGCTGAACTTACTTATTAATTGTAGAAGTTTCTGTAGATTTCTTAGGAGTTCTACATGGACAATCATATTATCTGTGAATACAGGCTAAATTTTCTCTCTCTTTTTAAAAAATCTATATTGTTGTTATTTCTCTTTCTTGCCTTATTGCACTGGCTGGGATTTAGAGCACTGGGTTTAATTAGAGTGGTGAGAGCAGATGTACTTGCCTTTTCACCAAACTTCGGGAGAAAATGTTCAGTCTTTCATCATTAAGTGTGATTTTAACTATGGGATCTTTGTGTGTGTGCGTGCTCCTAGTTTGCTAAGAATCATTATCCTTCATGGGTATCGAGTACTTTGGCTGTGGTCTTTCTTCCTTAGTCTGTTGATGTATGGACTGCACTGATTTATCTTTGCATAGAGAGTCACCTTTGCATACTTGGAATAAGTCCTGCTTGCTTGTGGTGTATAGTTCTTTTGGGACATTACTAGGTTCAGGTTGCTAATATTTTTTTAGTATTTTACATTTAAGTCCATGGAAAATACGTCTGTGGTTTTCTTCCGTCTTTGACTGGTTTGGTATCAGAATAATACCGACTTTATAAAATGAGTTGGAGAGTATTCTGCTGTCTGCTGTTTTCCTGAACAGATTTGTAAAACCGATGTTAATTCTTTAAAGTTTGTGAATTCTCCAGTGAAAGCATCTGGACATGGAGATTTCTTTTGCTGGCGCTTTTAAATTACAAATTCGACTTCTTCTAGGTTGTAAGACTGCATCTTTTCTCAGTTTTGAAAAGCAGGAGGCAGGTACTATGATAGCTTCTTGGTTAGGAAACACAGGGTTTGGGAGAAAGGCGAGAATGAGAAGTGGAGAGAATTCGGGTCAGTACCATCACGATCCTGAGATTTCTCACTTATAAAATGGTCTATTTGTAGGCTACGGCACATAATGCAAAAGTTCATCTTTATTTTTACACCTAATATTCCTGAGACGTTTCTGGCATGATTTTGATAAACTTTACCATTTCCTATTTCCTTTTCTGTTTTTAAAATTTAAGACCTTTTCAATATAGAAATACTTCTGGTCTTAACCTAGTTTTCTCTGTCTCTCTTTTTTTCTCTATTATATTTAGAATATGTTTCCAAAGTCAGTTTATTTTCTTGAGTTTGTTACAAAAGAAGCATGCATCTGCCCAGATACTTAATGGAAGCAGAAAATCTATTCCTTAGGGCAGCCCTTGCTTTGCGAAGTACGGTCTCGGCAAGTAAATCAATCATGGGAGCCTCTGTCAGTGTGGGTGGAGGCAAGGCTAGGTAGAGTAGACGCTCTGGGAATATAACTTGTGTTGCTGTTTTAACACATCTGGAGCAAATACAAGGATATACAGATGCTTCCTGAACCTGACCTGCCGTCTGCTGCAGTGGCCTTTGGCACCTAGAAGAACGCTTCCTACCAGGTAAATTTACAAGGGGCTGTCAAATGCATTATTTCAAAACTACAAACTTTTTTTCATTAAGCTGGAAAGGAGATGTTAAGTTATGTCAGTAACACCAAAATTGAAGTAATCATTTGTTTTTATGAACTATGTCTTGTAAATATTCCAAATGTATTTTTTAAAATGAAAAATGCATGCCCCAAAGACCACTTGTCTGATTGCCCAGGATGATGAAATTGAGGGAGTGATTTTTTGCTCGGGGCATGTGATGAAAGCACAGAAGATTGCAGAGTGAGGGGCCGTGTTGGCTTGATTTTTGTCCATAGGAATGGGAGAGTAACCCACTTCATACCTGTAGCCCACCCAGCACAGCCAAGGCTGAAACTGCTGGTCTCCCGTCTGGAGTTATCCCAAGAAAACACTCCTATTGTTTAGAAGTGCATTGTTGTCAGTAAATAAATGCTGTCATCTCAGGGTTTCTGATGTTAAATTAAAGGGATTTTGCATTAATCACTTGCATCCCAAAGCAGGTCATATTTGCCCGAAAGGAGGCTCTGTATAAATAACAAATTCATATTCTATCGATAACATTCCTTTGGACTGCTATTTATTTTACCTTCAAAGTGTGCGAACCACTCTTGATCTTTTTATTTCTTTGAGGATGAACAATTACAGCATCAAGAGACGTTTAAATAATGCATAGTTTTTAAAGCAAGAGAATGAGACAAATAGAAGTGTTCACGCAGACTTCAGATCAGACTTCTGGTTTTTAGCTTAATGTGTGATATTAACCTATTTAGTAGCATTCTTTTATTTGCTGCACTCTCCATCCCCATTAGACGTCATCTCATCGCTGTTTTGTATTGTTTCCATGTTAGCACATCTGTTATTAAAATATGAAGGTTGAAGGGGAAAATAATTAGATTTATGGCTTTGTACTCTGAGTTTCCGATTTAAAGGTCTATTGCAAACTGACTCAAGCTATGGTATGTGCATGACCATTATCTGTTCAAATTAGCTTATAACCTTTCCACTCATTTCAAACACAACTTGGGATTAATAGTCACAGCGAATCCCACTCAACACAATAGTCGTGCTTATGTGTGTGCTAAGTTGCTCCAGTCATGTCTGAATCTTTGTGACCCCATGGACACATGGGGCCCGCCGGGCTCCTCTGTCCATGGGATTCTCCAGGCAAGAATACTGGAGTGGGCAGCCATTTCGTCCTCCAGGGGATCTTCCCCACCCAGGGATCAAACCTACGTCTCCTGTATCTCCTGCATTGGCAGGCAGGCTCTTTACCACTAGTGCCACCCGGGAAGCCCCAACACAGTAGTCAGCACGAGCCAATCGATGATGATCATTTCCACGTAACTTTTTAATACTCACACTTCCTTAGGAAGCTGGACGCGGTGGCGTCCTGAGCCTTCAGGCCAGCAGGAGGAATGTTTGAGTGACTGGTCCTCAGGCTCTGGTGGGGCCTGTCCTTACAGCCGTCCACCCAAAGGATCCACAGGACTGAGGCTCAGAGCAGCCTCGGGGAGATGAGACTGGGGCTGAACCACTCGGTCCGTCCTGAACGTGGTGGAGAGGAAGGCCTGTTTTGCGGGTGCCGCAGCTCGAAACACATGTCCTGTCTGCTGGCCGAGTCTAGGCTGTCTTTTCATGAGATTAAAGACAGCTCAAAGGGACTGGCCTGCAGATACACCAGCATGAGCTTCAGGCCTGGTTCTCCTGCCTCAGAAGTTTTATTTCCAGTGATTGCCTGTCACTTCTTGAGTCCGTGTCCTCAGCTTTAAAATGCGGGAAATATCAGTTTTGTTCAGGTAATTTTATGCGTTTGCTGTCTGTACTTGTGTTGGTTGCTCAGTCATGTCTGACTCTCTGTGACCCCACAGACTGTAGCCCACCAGGCTCCTCTGTCTGTGGAAATCTCCAGGCAAGAATACTGGAGTGGGTTGCCACTCCCTTCTCCAGGGGATCTTCCCAACGCAGGGATTAAATCTGGGTCTCCTGAAAGGTAGGCAGATTCTTTTCTGGCTGGGTTACTTTTTTTTCCCCCCACATAATTGAAAATAGACTAAATATGAAGTAACCCACGACATTTTCCTCTCGCTCAGAATTCCCTCTGACTCTTCCCCTCACACAGTGCTGCCTTGTGGTTTAAACATGATGTGAAACTCTGAACTGGGCTTAGTCGCTCAGTCGTGTCTGGCCCTTTGTGACCCCAGGGTTATAGCCCGCCAGGCTCCTCTGTGCGTGGGATTCTCCAGGCGAGAATACCGGGGAGGGCTGCTATGCCCTCCTGTAGGGGATCTTCCCCACCCAGGGATTGCAGCCACGTATGCCACATTGCAGGCGGATTCTTTACCATCGGAGCCACCAGGGAAGGAATGTGAAAAGGAAACCATAAAACATACAGCGCGGACAGCAACGTCACCTTCGTGTGATTAGTGAGAACACGTGTAACTCCCGGCTTGCTGACTTATTCACTGCACTAATGACCTAGCAGATGTCATGTCCCTGTAACAGAGTGGCCACAGACAGCAGCCCCTGGACGTGGAGGCGGGCGGATTAGAGTCCTGAATCCAACACTCACCCCCTCCATCATCTGGGGCTGGTCCTTGCACCTCAGAGTTTTTATCTGTGAAGCAGAGATGAAAATACCACCTTGAGGGTTATCTTAGGAATTCTGCATGTTTTCTGTAACAAGCAGGCCAGCAGTTAGGAGCCTAACCCCTGCCTGGAGTATTGAGGAGTTTGCTACGTGATGCTGTCTTCGCAGCACCCTTAGGAGACAGTTATTGCCCCTCCCTGATCACCTGGGAACACGGGGCTCCCCACCCGTGATGTATCAGTGGTTCTGGATGAGTCTGTGGTCCTTCCAGACACAGCCAGCGTTTTCCCTCTGGAACTTCCATTAAAGCTGGGACTTCCCATCCCTGACCTTGTGTCCAAAGTATTCAATAGTGACCACTTCTAGGACCCTGTATCTCTGATGATATGGTGGAATCTGATCAAGACCTGGGTATCAGCGGCGACCCAAATCCTTCCTAATTAACTGCAGCTTCGCTACAGTCAATCTCCTACGGTGCTGAGCACTACAGGAAGCTCGTGGGTTCAGTGAATCGCAACATTACCAAAGACCTCTTGCAAACTAAAAATAACTTAAAAAAAAAAAATCGGTGTCTTTAAGGAAGGCCATCACTTCAAATACCCATGTCTCAGAAAGTTAATCTGATGGTATGGTTTAACCTCTAGGAAGCTTTATTCAATGTGTGTTAGGGGAAAAGTGTGTGTTGCACAATGCCTTCCACTTCTCCCCAAAGGTGTTTGTATCTTCAGAAGCCACAAGTCCAACGCGAGGAACAGTGCAAAGGAAACCACAGGGGATTTAGCCCCAAATCCACAGCTTTCTGGCTGCGCGACCCAGGACAGCACAACCTGGGGTCTAATCTTTCGAATCTTAAGGCTCCGCATCTGTAAAATGGGCTCATGCCGCCCCCACCTCGGGTTTCAAGAATCAAACGAAACAACGTATGTAAATACTCGAAAAAAATCACGTGGCTCCAGCCTTGACACAGCGTGGGAGCCTAAGAACTGCTCCCTTCCAGTCCTATGATAATGGGAAGAAGCAAACACATTCAGCTTATTAAGCGTTCTATTAACATATTTCTGGCTTGAGTTTTGCAGTCCGGTACACACATGCTCCGAGGCATCTTTCATCTTCAGAACGCCTATGTGTTACAAGCCTAGTAAACGGAGATAACCCACCGTGCTCCACGGAGGCCGCTAATCCACTCCTGGAGTATGACCCCCTCTGGGTAAAAAGATCAACAAATGTTTATCAGCTACATAACACCTCGATGAGATTCAATGGGGCCCTTTGATAGCATTTCCTAAAGGACGAAGATAAGAAAGCTGTGGGTGATGCGCCGTTACACCTGTGTGTGTTTATCCAGGTCTTTAAAAGATAAATACTGTAATCAGGGAGTCGAATATTAGGCAATTATAAGACTTCAGAGACTCGATGATGAATTCAGTCCCTTTTCTCCAGTTGGGTGATGGATTTAAATCAGAAACAGCCGTCTTGCCCCCGAAGGGAGCGATTCTCGCTTGTGGACCCTGAAAACACAGGCTGAGAACCCTCTGCCTTCTGTCTGTTCATGTAGCCTTCAAAATAAGCGATGCATCTTCTCCAGTAAGCCCGGGTCTTCATCAGAAGATGGTACGGCTCCCCAGCTCAGTCCTCGCCCTTGGCTTAATTGCATTAAAATTCTCCCCTTAGCAAAGCGGTCAGAGCAGTGCGTGGACAGTCAGGGAGTCCCGCCTCCCCTCCTAGCCTGTTGGGCGTTCGCCAGAGGTTCTGACCCACATTGAACTCTGAAAGATCTACAGGCCTTGGGGCGCGCACGGGCCTGACCTAGGGTCACCAGAGTTTCTAGAAAACTTCACTTTGCGGGTTGCTTGTGACCTTTGCTTCGTCTCCTTTGAGCTGCCTCCCCTCCCAGGTGAGGCACCGCTGAGCGCAGTGGCCCGGAGCCAGTCCATGGCGGGCAGCGGCTGCCGGCTCCTTAGGCGACCGGCCCCGGAGGCCAGGCCCTTCCCCCGCCGCCTGCAGAAGGCGGGGGCCTGCTGGGAGCCAGCGCAGGCTCCCTGCTCCCTCAGGTCCGGGGCCCTCTGGTCTGCACCTTTCAGAAGTGGAGGCGTCTCAAGGGAAGACGACTGGAAGGAGAGCGGACCTCAGAACAGAAGCTACTCCGCCCAGCATCCAGGCCCCGCTCATGCAGGGCAGGCCCTCTCGAGGCACCAGCCGGACCGCTAAGGAAAACGGGGCGGGAGGAGCGGGGAGAAGCCCCTGGAGGCGGGCGGGGGAACCGGAGGTGTGTGCGCGGGAGGCAGATGGCGGCAGGGCCAGGGAAGCGTGGGAAGGGGCTGGAGTGCGTGGCTGGTCACGGCGCCCCTCGCTCAGAGCGCGTCAGGTGCCAGGCGCCATGCTGAGCGGCCGGCCTGCGGGTCTCAGGCCCCTCCCCAGAGCCTGTGCGCAGGCAGATTTTCCGGCAGGCAGGGGGCACGTGGGCAGGAGCCCAGCCCGCGGGTCCGCTCTGCCCATGTGCTATTGGGTAGGCCAAAGAGTTTCTTGGGTTTTTTTCCCCCTAAGATGTTGCAGAAAAGACCAGAAGGACCTTTCTGGCCAGCCCTGGACTTCACGGCACTGGCTTTGTCTATATCAGGGTGGGCAAACCTTCCTGTGAAGAGCCCCAGAGTAAATATTTTCAGCTCTCTGCGTCCTACAGGCTCTGCCACGACTACCCTTGCAGCTCAGAGGAGCCACAGACCACATGCACATGAATGGCCATGGCACAGTACCAATAAAACTTTATCACCGACAGTGGCCAGTTTTGGCTCAGAAGCCCAGTTTGCGGGGGCCCAGTTTACGTAAAAGTGGGTGGCTCCCAGGTCGGGAAGGCCGATAAGTGCCAAGAGGGGGCTGGACCAGGGCGTGTGGGAGAGGCCGGAGTGTACTGGGGAGGGGCGGGGAGGGACCGGCAGGGGCCACTGCCAGGCTTGAGGATGGTGAGTCTGGCCACAGTTTAATCGTGCAATTGTTTCTGCTTCTAAAAAATGTTCCTATTTATGCTCTAAAAATATAAATGGAATGCATCAGTGTCTTCGAGTGAAATCTTCTCTTTCCTAAGCACCAGTGCTCTGTGCCTTCTTATCGGTGGCCTCCTCCTCGCGAGCGCGCTTGGGTGGGCTCCAAGAGGCGCTGGCCCCCGCGGAGGGGCGGTCTGAGGAGCCGAGTCTCCGGGCCCCGCACGCCCCATCTCGGTCCTTTCCTGAGTGCCAGTCGCTTTCAGAGGGGAGTCAGGAGAGCGGCCCAATGTCTTCTTATGTTTCTTACAAAAAATACAAATGCAGGCATGGGTGACTTTTCAGCTAGTGAGAGTCCCCTTGATTTAATCATTCTTTCGTGTATTTTCTGTTTGCTACAAGTAGACCATTTTATTATAATCCAATTTTGTTGACAGTGAAATACCTTGGCACTGAAACACAGAGACGGCATATTAGAACAAATGTGAACTTTCTGTTGCAGAGCATTGATCTGCGTCAACAGTTCAGAGAATACAGAAAACGCTGCCCCTTGTCCAACGAGAAAACAATCCAAGGACGCAGCTGCTAACGCGCCTGGAGGGAGACAGGCTTGTCTCGCGTGCCCAGCGAAGGGCACTCCAGAAACACTACCTCCCTTTGCTTCCTCTCTCCTCTTTGGCTTCATCAACAGCTTGCCTCACCTCTGGCCATTAGCCATGCCAAGAAAAGCGTCTTCTTGTCCCAGTTAAAGGGTCTCTTTGAGCCTCTTGCCTCGTAATTATTTCACCTCTGCCCAGCTGACACATCGGGAAAAATTCTTCTTGTTCCTCGTTTAAGTATTTCTCTTGAGTTGTAGGATATTAGCGTCGTCAGAGAGCTTTGGGGCCATCTGGCTCATTTCTAAGCCATGTGATGCCCACGAGAGAGCTTTAGTGAAGTCTGAGGGACCCTCATACGTGGGTGTGCTTAAACCCCAAATGCTTGGGGGTCCTCTTGGAATGCAAATATAACAGCAGTGTTGTAATTGCCAGAGAGACACCTGGGTGTTTATCCCAGGCTTAACATCTTTCCCGAAAATTAGCAACCTGTTTATTCTCATTTCTGCTTTCACGGATTGCCTGGGTCTGCCTGAAATCGTGGTGGTCTCTTTGAGAACTAGGAAACATTGTTTTAAAACAGTCAATCAGGAAGCCAGACACCCTGGGAGATACGAGTTCCGATTTTCATCAGTGATGAAAATCCTTTGGGTTCAGTGAGTCCTCGGGGAGAAGAAAACCTTTGTCGGCTTTTCTCATCACAGGGCACCCATCTGAGGTCTCGAGACCCAGCATCCTGCACTGAAACAAGGAAACCACAGTGCTTTCAGCCCTTCTCAGGATGGGAGCCGGGGTTGGCCCGTTACAGCCTGCGACCAGACCTGGCCCATGGTAGGTGGTGATCTAAGAATGGTTTTTACATTTGTAAGTGGATAGAAAGCCAATTAAAATAATGGTATTTCACACCATGTAAAAGTTACATGAAATTCAAATTGCTCTGACCTTAGAGTGTGACGAACACAGAGCCACAGCCGTCCTTTGCACGCAGCTGCTTTGCGGCCACCGGGGCAGAGTCACCGCGACAGAGGCGGTGCAGCCTGCAAAGCCGGAAATGCGCAGTGCGGGTCCCTTCAGAGGGAAAGTCTGCCGCCGGCGTGGAGGTCACGGAGGTCACGGGGGTCATGCCTGGCTCTGCTCGCCGTCTCTGGTCCAATCATCTGCTCTGGATGTTGACTCAGTTCTGTTTCAGCACCTGGCGCTGTGGTTCTGAAACATTTCCAGTCGGTTCTCCAGTCAGTTCTCAACCCTCGGTGTCGGGAAGCTCAAAATGCAACCCTGATAGATAAATAAAAACACAGAGTAGCTGATGCTTGGCCTTAAAGACCCACACCCAGAGGGCAAACCGGACCAGTTCCGATTTCAAATCACAAGCCATCCTCCGTAAACATAGGGCCTTTCATCAAAGATTCGGGCGCCTCAGGGCCCAGGTTCAGGGCCCAAACAGACGATGCCCTCGCTTCCTTCTGTCCTCGGGCCTCCGTGCTGGGGGGACCTGCGCTCTCCGGGATCGCCTCTCACCAGTTGGGCGTGTTCCCAGCTCCTGGGGTGGAGACAGTGGGCGAGTGCGGGTCAGGCCAGGGCTAACCTGGACCCAAACACCCATTTGGTTCTTCTACCATTCTGCCCAGAGTTTCTGGAAACTACCACTTATTTGGGTCATTCACCAAGAGCCACTCAGCTCTGTGATAACAAACTCTTGAAAGGCAGAAAGCGTCATTTTTAAAAAGAGGATGCACACGTGTCGAGTTGCAAAGGCGTGGCGGTCTCGCGTGTCCCGCAGTGACCGAATCCCGAGTCTGGGTCCGTGTCCCCAGCACCGCCCGTGGGGGCTGCTGTCCTCTGTGAGTCCTCGGAGACTCGTGTGTGTGCTCACTCAGGCGTGTCCGGCTCTGTGCGACCCCATGGACTGCAGCCCTCCAGGCTCCTCTGTCCCTGGGATTCTCCTGGCAAGAATCCTGGAGTGGGTTGCCGTGCCCTCCTCCAGAGGGTCTTCCCGACCCGGGGATGGAACCGCGTCTCTTCTGCCTCCTGCATTGGCAGGCGGGCTCTTTCCTGCTAGAGCCACCCAGGGAGCCCCCTCGGAGCCTCGGGGTGGGTTACTGCCGTGTAACGAGCTCAGCCGCTGCTGCACCAGGGCAGGTGTAAACATCTCGGAGCAGGCAGCTGGTCCCGACGCAGCTCCACTGGGATGCCAGGCGCCTTGTCGGCGAGCCAGGTGAGGCCTGGGTCTCCCGCCGGACTCCCACGGCTGACAAGCGTGGAGCCGTGACGGCCGGCGGGGGGAGCCTGACGTCGCAAGCTTCCCTTGTGGCGTGTGGCATTCTATTACTGTTGGCGTCAGAGAGCAGCTGGGACAGTAAACAGATACCTCAGGGGCACACGGTTCCCCCCACCGTGTCCCCCACGCCACCTGCCCTGCTCCCGAGGTCCCTCCCAGGAAGAAGGAAGTTAAGCACGAAGCGCCTGAAACCACTGGAGTGTTGCTTTTTCCGCTCTCTGACTTACTGTTGTTCTTGAAAGTGAAAGTTGTTTAGTTGTGTCTGACTCTTGGCGACCCCATGGACTCTACAGTCCATGGATTTCTCCAGACCAGAATATGGGGGTGCGTAGTCTCTTCCCTTCTCCAGAGGATCTTCCCCACCCAGGGATCAAACCCAGGTCTCCCACATTGCAGGCGGATTCTTTACCAGCTGAGCCACAGGGAAGCCCGTTGTTCTTAATTAATGTGAATTAATTTGGTGGAAAGAAGCTTAGACAAGAGTCATATTCTGCAGAGTTCACAGATAACAGAGTAACTGAGCAGCCGACAGGTGGGTCGGCACGGCTCATATGTGAAGCTTGGGAGAGACAGAGACTCACTCACAGACTGTGCTCCGCTAACAGTGACGACATTCGCCTTGGCACTTGTTTGGAGCATTCGCAGAGCCCTGGAGACGGGGCTTGGGGCTTTCCCCACGGCTCAGCTGTGAAGAACCTGCCTGCTAGCGCAGGAGGCCTGGGTTCAACCCCTGGGTGGGGAGAGGCCCTGGAGGAGGACAGGGCAGCCCACTCCAGTGTTCTTGCCTGGAGAATCCCACGGACAGAGGAGCCGGGCGGGCTACGGTCCATAGGGTATCATAGAGTCAGACACGACTCAGTGAGCATGCAGAGGCTGAGTTTAGGACTAGTATTCACCACCTCCTTTTTCCCTAACGCCTCTTTGAAGTCAGGGCTTTAACCATCCCCATTAGCAATGAAGAGGCTGTGCTCAGAGAGTTTTGTCGTCTTCTTAAAGCCACACAGGTTGGAACCTGGGTGGGATTTCAGGTCTGTCTGACTGTTACCGCCCAAGCTCTTAGCCGGGAGTCTAAACGATGATGGAAGGATTTTCCTCCTTCGTGAGTATCTGTTAGTCATTCCAGCAGTGATGCAGCTTAGGAGAGGACCGTCTGGGAGGCTCGGGGCAGGAACACTCAGCGCCCTGCACGTTGTCCTTCCCAGGCGGCTTTGTTTACTGGGGGACAAGGGCAGGACCTTTGGCTGTCGGGCTGAGGGTGGAGGGGAGGTTGGTGCCCCCCTGCCCCTCGTCTGCTAGTGAGTTCAGGGAGGAGCCTATCCCAGGGCCGCGTTAGCAGAGCGGAGTCCCGTCTTCCACGGGCCCAGTCTTCCCATCAGATGCGCCCGGCTCCGTGTGTTCTGGCTCCTGTAAGGACTTGGTTGCTGAGTTGTCTAAAGCCTTCCTTGCTGAAGCCGTAAAAAAACAGGAGTGTAACAGATTGGAGAGGAGACCCACTGGGGAAGATCTGTGTTTATAATGGGGCAGAAAACAGCATTTAGTTTCTAAAAGAAACTGCAGAGAGCTCTTAATAAGGTTCAGTCTGATTTTTCCTGCCTGTGTGAGCAGCTGGCCCTGATGAGATGATGCATGTAATTAAGGGCAACGCTTTTCCCTAGGGGAAAAAAAATTGCAAGAATTTATGAAGTGATAAGCGATTTGTGGTGGAAATAAGTGAGGGAACCAATGAGGTAGCTGTTTTTCCTTTCTCAATGGGGCGGTCATCTTGGGCAGGGCCTTCTGTGTTTGATGACCTGGACCGGCTCCTTTGGCCTGTCCCGCCACAGCCAGAGGCATTGACCAGTGTGGTCAGGGGAAGCCAGGTGCTCCCTGCCCCAGAGCCACCCGAACTTCAGTGTCTTGAAGCTTCATCGCAAAACGGCGAGGGCTCTTGCCTTATGAAGGCCCTGCCTTGAGATAACTACTCATGCATGTCTTTCCTTTCGTTATGAGAGGGCTTTGAAGGCTACAGAGATGCTCTAAAATGTCACATCAATCAATAAGGCCTATGGCATTTGGTGGAAAGAACAAATAGTACATCTTATCTTCATCACGGCGAAAATGTGATATATTTTATTTCATTTTGGGCAATGAAAAAAAAAAGTTGGAAAAAAGGAGTGTGTCCTTGCAGTTAAAAAAAAAGAAAGCAATGGACCATGGGAAACAGTTCCCTGGAGAGCCGTTCAGCTCTCTAAAGGCGACTGCCGTAACCAGCTTCTCATAAATCTTTCTCAGGATGAGCTTCGCATCCATAAGCATGTACTGTGTGCAAACTCATCACAGTTGTGCCCGTGCAGTATGTATACAGTGTTACAAGGCTACAATTTATATACTCAGTTCCATAAGACTATACATACGTCTGTATTTTAAAGGTAAATTGTAAACACCATTTTTCACCTTTTTAAGACCTCTTGGAGATAACCTCTTATCAGCGTGCATGGTTATTCTATTTTGTTTTATCTTACCCACAGCTAAGGTTAGTCTGGTCTGCACTATATGTGCTGTGTGTGTGAGAGAATTCTCTTGAGTCGTGTCCTACTCTGTGTGACCCCAAGGACTGTAACCCACCGGGCTCCTCTGTCCATGGGATTCTCCAGGCAAGAATACTGGGGTGGATTGTCATGCCCTCCTGCAGGGGATCTTCCCAAACCAGGGATCAAACCTGCGTCTCCCGTGTCTCCTCTTTGGCAGGTGGGTTCTTTTCCACTCGCGCCACCTGGGAAGATGCTGCGCCGTCTGCCCACACCGTTTTTAATGTTTTCCAGCACTTTGGCACAAGGCTTATGTAGCCACTGCCCAGGTCCCCAGGTGACCCGCCCTCCCACCTGGCTGCCTTGGCCCTGGGCGGCTCCAGGCATGTCGCCGGCTAGGTCTGCCTGGCGCCGCCTGCAGCCTGTCCCCTGCCCGTGCCTCCCCAGGCCAAGGGGAGAGGGCAGTCCAGGCCCCAGAGCCGCCACAAAGCGAGCGCGCGTGGGAGGCCTGCCCGGCCCCCGGGTTCTCCGGGAGCCACCTCGCCTGGAGGTGCGTGGGCGGGGCTGCTGCCGGAGCACCGTAAGTCTCCGTACCACCCCCCGGGGCCGCCCCTTCTCCTGCGTAGTTCTCACGGGTTTCACCAGCTGCTTGTTACCAGCATTTCACCCCTGCACAGACCTCGCTGCAGCACCCACAGGAGTAGAGTGAATCGCTGGAAGCCCAGCAAAGCTGTGAGCATCTTGGTTCAGAGAGCGTTACTGGCTCCCTCCATCCCGATTTGGTTCCCTCCTGTTGGAAGCGAGGTCTCTGTGGGTCTAGACTCGTAATGTGATGCCCTCCAGAGCCAGAGCTCCGAGCCGCTTGGCTGAGGCTCCAAACACAGGTGGGCACACAGGCCAAGGGCCACCGTCTGGGGGGAGTCCCCTGAGGGGATTTGGGCGCTGGAATGGATGTCTGACTCCAGCCCTGACTCCCCAGGGTCCTGGCTGCCCTGCCTGCCCCTGGCGGACACGGGAGCATCTCCTGAAACAAGCCCGGGCAATGGAGGACGGTCCTCCTGAGACTTGGCAGCTGGAAGCTGTGCCCAGACAGCGACATGGCCTAGAAACCCCTCACGTCCCCATCCCCGCCACGGCTTTCATTTCCACTGTGAGACGGCCTTTGATGATGAGAAAGCTTCAACTGGACTTTGGCATTCTTACCCAGACCCTCAGAGAAAGCAGAGCAGATGGTAAAGAAGCTGCCTTTCAAGCAGGAAGGCAGCCTCCTCAGGGTTGGAGAGGGAGGAACTTACGTAACAAGAAAAGGCGCTTAGTAACAGTCATCCATCAGCCCGGCTCCTCACCAGGTGCCCCCAAGAAACAGAGATTAAGTGCTCAGAGGCATGTCCATGCACATTCACAGCGTGCCCTGCACAGGGCCCTGGCCCGTTGACGGATGATGGACAAGCAACACGTGGTCCATCTGTCCTTCCATCTGAAGGGGCGATACTCAGACTCGAAGAGGGACGAAGCGCTGACAACCACCTCCGCATGGGTGAGCCTTAAGGGCATTTTGCTTCAGGAGAAAGCCGGACATGGGAGTCCACATAGCCCACCATTCCACTTCTAAGACATATCCAGCAAAGGCAAACCCACAGCTGAGGCTCCAATACTTTGTCCACCTGATGCAAAGAGCCAACTCGTTGGAAAAGACCCTGATCCTGGGAAAGACTGAAGGCAGGAGGAGAAGGGGGTGGTTGAGGAAGAGATGACATCTTTGACTCAATAGATGTGAGTCTGAGCAAACTCTGGGAGATGGTGGAGGACAGGGAAGCCTGCTGTGCTGCAGTCCCTGGGGTCCCAGAGAGCCAGACAGGGCTTAGTGGCAGAACAAACGAAACAACCAAGACAAAACTGGTGTCCCGGGGGCAGGCACCTTTCCAGAAGCCTCCTCCCTTCAGGCCACACTGACCTAGTCCTGCACGGAGTCCTGCACGAGCTCCTCAGGGTGTATCTGGCTCTCTACTCAGGATGTGTATTTATACACATACTGAGAAATAGAATCACGATGTTCATGATGTTTTATAGTCTTTTCTTCTCCATGTAAACACATTTATCTCTATAGCATCACTTTCAATGGCTGTGAATTATTCCATTAAGAAGCTGTGCAACTTTGGACACAGATGAGACCCCAGGACACACCGTGGGCAGTCTGGACCTGTGCCTCCACAAGCTGGGAACCAGCAGAGACCTCGGAGAGGCCAGGACGGACCCTGCACTCCCCCTGCGGAGGCCCAGCCTTGCCCACACCCCCACCCCGGCTTCGGCCACATCACCGCCTGCGGTGGCGCCACCTTGTCACGGGCGCTGGAGGACACGGGCCTCAGAGAATGAGGGCTGGGGGGCCATGTGTGCGTGCAGACGGCCATGGTCCCTGTAGCCTGTCCCCCGTCCTCCCCCGTCCCCGTCAGGGGCCGTGGGGCTGACAAATGCGTTGTTCTGTTTTGCCTTCTCGGCTATTAACAAAAGGAAAAGCCACACAAGTGAAAAATAAGTCACTTCCATTTTTTTCCCATTTCTGCGAAGTTGCAAGGAAAACAGGTCATTGCTTCTTCTCCACGCTTGTTTCTGCACTTGCAGGATGCAAATCCCCAGAACCCAAAGGAGACCTTGGCAAACACGCCGCCATGGTGGGGGTAGGGAGGGTCAGATTGTGTGCAAATGACTGATGATTAGTTTATAGTACTTATGATGCAGGTTCCGTAACAATGGAATTAATCTTTGGAGGGAAAAATTAAAAGGGAGTTTGCTCCCGAGGGAGCTGAGTGGGGTTTGCACATCAGCGTGATGCGTGCTCGTCGGGACAGACAGCAGAGCCCCAGGGCGCCTCATTGTTTAATCAGCGTGTGATATCAAGTTGATTAACCGCCTCCACCCTGCAGAGACCCGGCTGCCCGAGGCTGCGGCCTCTCCCCGTGCCAGGAGGGCTGGGTGCCCAGGGCAGGCCCCTCTGCTCTGGGCAACCGCTGCTGAACTGTGCGTGGTCACAAACCCTAGCTGGAGGGGCAGCTGACCCAGAGGCCCCCACCATCGGGGACAGGGCTCTTCTCCACTCCAGGCAGAGGGACCCCCGACTTCTGTGCCCGAGACTGCACCCTAGGGCAAGCAGCAGGTGGTCCTGACAGCGTCCACACCTGCAGAGTTGCATGTCTCTGGGGGGCTGCACATACCTCTGCACACACAGTCCGACTGAGTCCACGTCACGGTCGTTACTGAGGAAGAAGCAGAGAGGGCTCCACGGTCCCCAGGTGGACAATCCACCCCCATGGGCCCGGTGTGGGGTTGGGCGGTCCGCAGAGCCTGGATGTGGGGGCTGGCAGCTGAGGTGAGACAAATACGTGCCCTCTTGTCACTCCACCCATGTTCTGGGCTCCCGCAAGATCCCCATTTCTCACGGCAAGAACATTAGTTAAAATTAAGAACTGTCCATAGGCCGCTTGGAGACATCGCAGGTTCAGTTCCAGATTACTGCTATATAGCAAATATCACAATTAGAGTCACGTAGATTTTCAGTTTCGCAGAAAGTCTGTTACCCTGCAGTCCATGAAGTGTGCATTATGTCCAAAACCCCCCCTCCATGTACCCGCCTGAATTAAAAAACACTTTATTGCTCAAAAGTGCTAGCCATCATCTGATCCTTTGGCAGTAGCATCAAAGATGCTCTCAGATGACCTTAGAAGTATAATAATAATGAAAAGTCTGGAATGTTGTGAGAATTTCCAATATAAGGCATGGGGACAGGAAGTGAGCAGACGCCTCTGGAAAAACTGTCGCCAGGCTAGTTGGTGCAGAGTTGCCCCGAACCTTCCATCTGTGAGAAATGCAGATGGAGCGTCTGCAAAGGGCAACAACGCGAAGTGTGCATTCTGACGCACCATTTGTCCTAAGAGGGTGAGCAGGAGCGTGTTTCTATTTCGTGGACACTACCATATGGCAGTGGGGACCTCGGGCTGTGAGGGGCCCATCATAACACGCCCTGACGAAGCCCCCACGGTCCTGCAGGGGGCATGGCTCTGGTTAACGTGACGCTGGATGCACACAGATGCTCAGCCAACAGGAAAGGGTGTGTGCGCGTGCGTGTGTGTGCACGTGCGTGTGTGTGCTGTAAATCCGTGAGGCGGGGGAGGAACCTGACTCAGGGGAAGAATAAGTGTGTGAATGAGTAACGTCCTTATTTTACATCAAGATGCCCTTGGTGGTCATAGAGAGCTGATAGAACATTGCAGTGCTGTGTTTGACAGAACTTTCTGGCATTTTCAGATTCAGAAACTTGGAATTGTTTGTAATTGGTTCTCAGTCTCCATGTACACAGCCTAGCATTTCACTGTCTCCTAATTTTAGAATCTTGGAACAGTTCTAAAGTGGTCGCTTTGGCAACTTCAAAATCTTATTGTAAGGGCCACAAAGAAAATTAGCATGTATATATTAGCTTGATTTTTTATTAGTCTTGAAGTGAAATCAAGCTTGCTATTTTGAAAACTCAACAGCAAAGAAGGGCATTTATCAGTGTTATCGGAGAGAAGAGAAAACATCTGTCATTTTACCTGGTAGCACAATTAAAGAACCTCAGTGAGTACGCTACTATAGCTATTCAGTAAAATTTATATTAAGAATTTTACTATTTATAAAATATATGATCTTGTAAAATGTTTATTGTTTCTTCTGATGAAAGGCCCAAAAACCTGTTATGGTAATAGAGCATGCTCTTAGCGTCTTATAACAGTGTATTAATACTGTCCATATATGCTGTTATGTCAATGGGGTGCGTTCCCTCTGAATTTCTGGAGATTAGCTTATTAGGGAATGGAAAAGCTATTATTTTCCCTCAAGGGAAAATCTCTTAGCAGTAACTCATCTTACGAGCAAAATTTGAAAAGATAAGTACTTCAAATAAATTTTCACTTTACTTTTGAAAGAAAGGTATAAATATAATAACAACTTAAAATCTGCCAAGATTTGTCCCCCTTGGAAGCCCAGGGGATTCGGGAACCCCGAGGAGCAGAGTCATCCCCAGGCGTGGCCGCTCGGTCTGCAGAGGTCGCACGGGGCATGCATGGAGCACCTGCCCTGCGCCGGGGCCTGGGTGGGCAGGGCGGGGTGGCCTGTGACATCAGCGTGTGTTCACAGCCGCCCTGCAGAGCTCTGGAGCCCCCGCTGTGTGCGTGCGGAGGGCGCCACTGCGGTGCTGTTGGATGTCACAGCCCGTCACCTGCGGGGTCCAACCCGGGACTGTGCCCTGCAGACTTACAGAGGCTGGGGCAGGGCTGAGGGGGTCCCGTTCTTCCATCCAAAGGAGCGTCTGCCTGTGAGGATTGCAACAGAGCCACCTGCCTCCACCTGCAGAGAGAGAGGCAGATAGAGGGATGGAGAGAGACAGAGAGATGGAGAGACAGACAGACAGAGACGCAGAGGCACGGAGCATCTGACACGGCAGCGGGGCTTCCTCCTGGTGGAGGCACAGGTCTTGGCGGAACACCTGAGCCTTTGGGACCGCGAGTTTTCTTCCACAGACAAGCAGCGACCTCTTTGTCTGGAGGGCTCTGGTGGCCCTGCCTTGAGGTTGGGCCCCGGGTCCCCCATAGCTATTCTGGGACTGAGCTTCTGAGGTCTGAGGTCCTGGAAAGAACTAGAGAGCATGATTCTTGTTTATTCCCACCTGTGGATGTTAGCGTGAGTCTATTTAAAACGCATACGTTTGGTCACATGAAACCAAATTACAGAAAACTACCTCCATTTTCTTAGGCCCAATCCGTGGCTTGCTTCCTTGACTCCTTGTCAGGACAGAACTGAATGGGGATTGGAGTGTGGGATGGAGTCGGGGGTGGGGGTCAGAGAGCTTCTCGGAGGCGTTCAAGCTCCAGAAACACACCTGCCGTGGAGCGGAGGTTCAGGACCCGCAGAAGTGAGGGTGGCGTCTCCCACTTTCTTCCTGGGAGCTGCTCTGGCCTCCACATGGCCTCTGGGTGGCCCCGTAGGCTGCACATGGGTCGGGCCAGCGGCCGGCATGGGGCCAGGTCTCCTGGTCACCGTCCCCTTCCCTCCCTGAAGTCCACCACCTCCTCTATGTCTCCCCCTCTGCCCTCCGCTTAAGGAAAATGCCACTGGGTCAAGTTCAGTCCAAGGGGTCACAAAGAGTCGGACATGACTGAGCGACTGAACTGAAGATGTTTATAATAGTTTAGGGGCTTCCCAAGTGGCGCTGGTGGTAAAGAATCCACCTGCCAATGCAAGAGATGCAGGTTCAGTCCCTGGGTCGGGAAGATCCCCTGGAGACGGGCATGGCAACCCACTCCAGCATTCTTGCCTGGAGAAGCCCATGGACAGGGGACCCTGGTGGGCCGTAGTCCGCGGGGTCGCACAGAGTTGGACACCACTGAGCAACTAAGCAGACGTTAGTTTAAACTTAAGGGACCTGAAACTTCCTCCCGAGGAGGAGGATACTTCTTCATTTGTTTCTCATGTTTTAAAATTCCAAGAAAATGTGCCAGTTTTAACCTTGAAAAATACTTGCAATGAGGCCCTGGGCTCTTCTGGGGGCAAATAGAGAAAACCTCCATGTATGTAAAACCGAGGCGGCCTTGAAGCAGGAGGCCCTGCCGTCACGGCTGTGCCATAGCTGGGGTCGGGGCCTGGGGTGCATCGCGTGAGTGCCTGACGGTGACATGCAGGTTGGCTGGCACAAGCAGTGGCCCTTCCCGGGGGGCAGGCCTTCGTGGAGGCCCAGGCTCCGAGGCCCCGGGAAGGCCCTTCACCAGGGGCCTCGGCACAGAGCATGGTGGGAGGGCTGCCCGGGGGACAGTGTGGCTCAGGACCACTCGGGGCAGCCCAGGGGCCACCGCCCAAGAGGAGACGCTGTCACCCTCCGGCCTCATTCCTCGGCCCATGTCTGGACTGGACAAGTCTCCTAAATGTTGAACCTGTCTGTAAGTGTTGCCAGTTTGGAAGCTCCACTGGGAATTGACTTTTAACCATAAGCCTGCATTTCCACCCATTGCAATCCCAAGGAGGTGGCAGGAGACCTGTCCTCAGCTCCCTGGGGACGCACCGGGCCAGGAGGGCAGCCTTGTGGGGAGGGCGGGACGTGGACGCCACGGGGCTTCTCCCTCCCCTCCTCTCCCCATGGAGTGCTGTCCCCACTCAGGCCCATCGGAGAGGCCGCGTCTGAGGCCAAGGCGGTTTAAACCTTCCCGGACACGTCTCACCAGGATGTGTCTGGGCTGGGTGTTGACCGCTGCCCACCCCGCATAGTGTCCCTGGTACCGAAGATGATTGTGACAATCCCTGCGCGTGCTTGCATCAGACTTTGAAAAGCTTCCACCTCTCACTGCATGCTGGAACACGGCAGACACTTGATCTCCTTGCCCAGTGGGGAGACGGGACTCTGGCAACCAAGAGCAGCCTGAGGTCCTGAATGCTGGGCGCGTGAACCCTCCAGTCTCACCTGGGTCGGCCACAACGCAGGTAGAAGGCAGTCTTAGGGGGCTCCCGGAGGTCTCCTGGGCCCAGGGTCCCGCGTCCCAGCTCAGGTGCTGGTTTGGAGGAAGGAGGACTCGGTGAGCCTCCGGCTGGTCTTTGCCGCATGTGGGCACGGTTACAAACCCAGAGGGACAAGGAGGAAGCCATAAAAGTTCCAGAAAAGCCCTGATTAGGAGAAAGGTCGTGAGGGAGGTTATAGAAGGGCAGCCAGCAAGCCGCAGCCCTGCTGTGAGGTCAAGGTCACACCTACCAGCTCTCACAAAAGGGACGTTTCCTTCGGCTTTCGGCCTGGACAGTTCACAAAGCTACCCGTTCCGCGTGCTTTATTTGTTTACCTTCCCCGGCTGCGTGGGTAAATAGAGAAAGTTAGGGAAGTGTTCCGACGACTCAGCTTTCATGCTCTCAGCAGCCTAATTACACAGGACAGAAGCTGAAATTTCATGTGCGTGGTGCGTACTTAGAGGCCAGGACTGGAAGTAACCGGGCTGTGATTTGCACTTTGAAAACCGAGAGGGGGTAAAGGGGTGGTTACAAACATGGAAAATGACCACGGCTGTTCCTAGAGACCTTGAATGTCACCAGGGGAGACGGTTCAGCAAGTGGGACAGAGAGAGAATCTGCTGCTCACAAATGCACATGTCAACACCTGGAAGCGATGGTGAAAACTGGCCTTGCTGGCAGCTTGCTATACATTTGTGCCATTAATACTGTGCCATCTGAGCAAAGATCTGGGCTTAGCCCCTAAGAAACTGAGTTCTGTGCGTGGACATTTCTGATAAGGACAGGCGGACAGGAGGGTGTCCGAAGGACCAGCTCCATCTGCACGAAGACCGCGGTGTGAAATCTGCCAGCTCCGGGTGTATTTCTGTCATCACTCACAGCACACCGCGTTGCTGCTCCTGGGCAGTCCTCTCTGTCTCCGCACTGCCCTGCATCCTCATCTCAGACGAGGCACACAGCAGGTACGCAGCGGACGGTGAGGCACTGAATGTGTGTGAGCGGTTCCCCGGGCTCTCCCCCACCCTGCCCTGGTGAGCGAGGTCAGCGGCGGCACTGTTTCCACCCGAGGAGGGCGGCCATGCGGGCAACCTGTCCTGGTGGGAGGAGCCGGAGCTGGGCCTTGAGCTTGGGGCTCGCGAACTGTGAGATGAGCGTCCTTCCACCTGCCCAGAAGCATCTACAAGTATCAGTAGATTCCAGCACAACAGGGTCCTTAGTTAGACCTGCTGGTTCCAACGTACTGTCATCATCGAGTTATCGTAGCTCAACTTTATTTTGACCACAAATATTAATAAAGGACTAGGAAGCCTGGCTGCAGTTTACGGGGTCATAAAGAGTGGGACATGACTTAGCGATGAAACAACAGGAAAAAAAATTATGTGAATGGCGTGTAGATTTTATGAAATCAGAGGTATAATGGTGGTTTTATGAAATGAGTGTTGGGTCTTAATCTTTCTTCATCCTGGGGAGGGGCACGGTGATAAAACAGCACATTAAAAATAACCAAGCTGTCTCTCTCTGTCACTTTGCTGTCAGGGGTTTGGAAACTTACCTCATGGGTTGCCAGTATCCCAGCCCCAGGGCCCGGGGTGCAGGTCACCAGGCTGCTCTGAGGAGGTCGTGACCACCCCGCTCCGATGTGCTCAGTTCAGATTCAGCTTCAGAGTGAAGAGCATCGTGGGAGACCCCAGGGTGCCTACACGCAGTGTAGACGTCACCCTCCCCGGGACCGCACCACCCTGGTTTCCAGCCCTTGTCCCCGCGTAGTTTCCAACACTGCCTCCTTGTGCGTCTAGGAGGGAGCCTCACGGGGGTGGTCCTGCTGAGAGCTGACACCGCTTCCTACAAGGACCCTGGGGTCATGTTGGATTTGGGACCGCTGGGGCTTCCAGGGAGGCTCAGATGGAAAAGAATCCGCCCGCAACACAGGAGACGCAGGTTTGATTCCTGGGTCAGGAAGATCCCCTGGAGAGGGAAATGGCAGCCCACTCCAGTGTTCTTGCCTGGAAAATCCCATGGGCAGAGGAGCCTGGTGGGCTACAGTCCATGGGGTCACAAAGAGTCAGACACGACTGAGCAACTAACACTCACGTTCACACTGCTCCAGGGCGAGCTCATCTTTACTAACTACATCGACAACAGCCCTGTTCCTAAATAAGGTCACAGTCAGTGGCCTTGGGGTAGGGCCTTCTCCTGTGCTGTGGGGACACCGGTTCAACCCATAGCGTGCCCGTGGAGGGAAAGCTTGGCCTCAGACGGGCATCTAATAGCATGAGGTCCAGGCTCTGACCACTCCGTGCAGATGCCAGGGGGACGAGACAGGGCACCGGCCAGAAGGAGTGGGCACCGTCCGTGGGCTCCTGGTCAGGCCCCTCCCAACCCGGCCGGGCAGCGTCCTTGGCCCCTGGCTAGGCTGAGTGGGCCTGAGGGTGACCCTGGGTGGCTCTGCCGGCGCCTTGGAGCCGGACGGTGCTGAAGCAGAGACTGGACACGCCCTGTGTAGACCCAGGGACCAGCAGCCGGGGTGGTGCCCCCGCCCCTCCTGACTGTCACGTGGGGAGGCGCGTCCGAGGCCGGCACACAGACAGGGCCGGCCCACCTGCTCGAGGGCAGGCGGGCCCGCGTCTGTCTGGGCAAACGAGACCAGCTGCCCTCCAGACGCCGGCTCGTGGCCTGAAGGTGCTCCTGTCTCTCCAGCTGAACCTGTAAAGGCCGGGCAGACAGCAGCTGCCCTCGGAGATGGAGAGAGTCCTGGGGGGCAGGGGGGCACAGCCATGCCCCCAACCTGCTCCCCCGTGTCCTGGAACCAGGGGTTTCAGGATCTGGCATTGAGGAGGAAGAACTCAAAATAAAAGCAGACCCAAGTTTCTGAGGTTCTCCGGGTTCCTCAGCTGTAGCACCTCCACCAGGGAAGCTGTGTTCTTCATGATCATTCAAAGCTCCCGCCGGAAACTCCTGAAGCAGCGGAAGGCAGGTCCTCAGGGCTGACTCTTGTGTCGGGGATGGCCGACAGCCTCCAGCGCCCAGGTGACCCCTAGGCATCCCCCCCTGGACCCCGCTGGCTTCGGCTCTCTCTGCTTTGCCTGAGCTGGGAACCTCTCTCCTTGTGAAGAAGTTTTCTTTCTCCCTTGACGTCTTTAACTTAAAAACAAAAATCAAAGAGTTGCGGGATTCCCACCGGGATGTGTTATGCAGGAGGAAATTATTCCCATTAGAACCCAGTGAATTTCACATGTATCCAGAAGTGCTTTTATAATAAAAAATAAATGCTCTATAAGTGATGGTACCAGGGGAATTTCGCCAGTTCTGACACGCCTGGGTGATTTGGGCTCAGAAGTCAGTTTTTCTGTCTCCTCTTTATTTGTCATCTTCCTGAGTCTCCACCCCTTATAGTGCAGCTTCATTTCATGGGATCTAATACCTGGTGGGTGTGCTTGGAAATAGCACTTTATTGGCGCTTCATTTAGATAGGTCTGGGGTTGGGGGCCCGGGGTGCGAGGCAGAGGGTGTGGACGCAGGCAGCCGGGGTCTCCCCATCACAAGGTGACCGCTGAGAGATGATGGAAACAGTTGTTCACAGACGAAGAGAGTGAGTGGGCTCACGAGCACACCCAGCGTGACAGTGGGAGGGAACACTGGGACGGGGATGCTGCGGGGCTGCTGGTGAGTGAGCAGGGGCAGCCCGCCCAGGAGGGGCCAGGCCCCGGGGCATCTGCACTCAGGATCTGCTCGAGTTTGGAACTGACTGTGGGATCGGGAGGAGAATAAAGCAAGCGTGTCATCCGCTGGGAGTTACAAGACCCCAAACGCAGGGAGGAGACTTAAAACTCAGTTGTGTACAGATTGGGCTGTGAAATAAAATCCGAGGGTGCCCCCACCCCGCCTCGATTTTGGCTCTTTCCCTTTTCCGAATGCGCACACACCCAGGCACACACGCAGACTCAGAACCGTCCTTTATTTATGGGTCTCTGCAAAGTTCGCAGCTCTCAGGTGGGCAGACCCCCTGCATACAAGCACTTCCGCCTTCGTTTCTTGAGGTTCCCTCCATCCTGCGGCGCAGGACAGAGTCTGGGGAGAAGGGCCAGGGAGGCCTGTGGTCCACAAGCTGTCCCAGCCTCTTAGAAGTGAAGCCCTTTTTGTATTAATTAGAGAAAAACAATGTTTGATCTCCATTTTTTTTTAATGGGAATTAAAGCCATTTCTTCTCAATCACTCGGCTCCCCCTGTGAGATTAAACGGGAGAACATTATAGGCTTCAGCATCGCCTCCTGCTCGGGGCTGGGAGCCGCCCCGGGAGCCAGATTCTGGAGGCGGACGCCCCCCGGGGCCCGCGGAGACTCCGGGCGTCCCCGCGGCTCTCCCTGGGCACCGCGAGGGCCCGGGCCGACTCTGGTTCACACGGCAGTGCGCAGCGTTAGCTGGGTGCCGCACGGGTGGGGGGCACGCCTGCCTGTCCACTGCCGCCGGGAGGGGGCGTTTCCATGGCGATGAGAAGCGCTGCTCCGGCTCCCTCATTGGTATTCACTCCCCATCCAGGTTCATTGTGCTTGTGCTAATGACAGGGTTGTCTCGGTAATAAGGATGGTGCACTGGAGAAATTTGCTGCCGTGGTACATTTTCCCTGGCAGCAAACTACTCGGAGGCTGCAGTCGGCAAGGAGGGTGACTGGCAGGCGGAAGAGGCGGCGGCGGCATATGGGGAAGGCGCCGCGCTGCGCCGCTCGCATATGCTGCCATTAAACTCCAGCTTCGCGCTTTGTGCGCTCCTGGGCCCGTGCCAGCGAGCCCACCTGCTGCAAGAATACTTGCAAAGCCCAACTCAAAAGTGATTGAAAAGCTACTAGAATAAACCGTAATAACACAGCGCTTCACAGATGGGACATAATTGCAAGCTAAAGTGTACAGCCCCAGCCGTAATGAAAACACGAGCCATTAAATTAAAATCATAAGGGAGAAAACGATAAAAGTCTGTGGGGCTTTTCCCCCCTAGTTTTATTGCAAAAACTTCAATTTCCCTGCCCTCATTAATCAAATACCATAAAACTATAGCGCGACTTTGTTCTGGTGGAGGTTCAGGCAATTAGAATGATGAATGTTGATGAAAAATGATGTAACTTTTGTTATCCTCGTGCTCGGATAACTTCAACCCTCTGTAACCGGGGCCACCCGGGGCTGACACGCATCCATCAATCCGCGGGTTGAAAGAGGCTTTGGGTTGTGCCCCGAGGGTTCACGGGGAGGGGTGGTTCAGCCAAGTTTGTCCAAGGCCAGGGCATGTGAAAACAGAACGCGGGGCTTTTTTGCTCAAAACTAGTATGTGTGCAGGGTGAATCCTTTCTCCCTAGCCAGCCCGCTCTTTTTTTTTTTTTCTTAAATATTGGTTATTTTCCATCTTTTTGGACAATTCAGAGACGCTCGTCAAGTTGTAAACCCAGGCGCTGCTGGAGAGCCGGGGCCACGGCTGGGGCTGGGGGAAGCTGGTGTGTAACGAGCGGGCGGCTGCGTGCAAGGGGTGGGGGGAGGCCAGGGCTGAGCGGGCCGGGCCGGGGCCACTTGGGGCCTCTCAGGCCCGTCCATGCAGGCCCCGGCACCGCTGTCCTGTCTCCCAGCAGTGGGCCCAGGGAGGACAAAGGAACACCGTGTCACCCGCATCACCCAAGCAAACAGCCTTTTTAGAAGACTTCCTCTTTTCATTTTTAATTATGCATTTCTTAGGCATTCCGCATGGTGAAGTGGAAGCATTCCCATCTATTTAAAAAAAAAAAAAGCCTGGCACCAACAGGATAAATATGTTTTCAATTTACCAGCGGAGACAGGTGTGTGGTCTCAGGGCGTCTTATGTTCACAGAGAAAAAGGACGTGGAGTTTGCAAAGGCCCCTTTGACTGGGCCCTCCGTCCCTGGAGAGGATGTGGGCTTATTTCTCGGGGGCGGGCTTCCCCGGCCCCAGGGTCTCCTGGTCACCAGAGGAGCTGGTGGGTCACCCTGAGTGCGGCCTCGACTCGTGGGCTCCAGAGCTGCCGCAGCTGTTTGGCGGCAGGTTCGGGAACTCATTGCAGAGCCTCAGATGCGGCAGGGTCCCTGTCTGAGGCTGGCCGTGGAGCCAGGAAGGACCGGGGTGGGCGGGAGGTGGCCTCGCCAGAACCCTATGGTTACTCCCGGGGGTGACGCCGGCAGACAGGCCGGGCGCGGTCTGTCTCGGGCGGAGGCTGGCTGGGGGCTCGGCCGGGGTCGGCCTCCACTGCCTGGGTTGGGCTGTGCCCCCTGGAGGAGCCCGTGGTCTGCAGCCTGTGCTCACAGCACAGAGGCCCTGCCTCCCTGGAGGTGGTCTCACCGCTGCACTCTGCCTCCCGTGTGTCCGCCTCTCCCCACCCCTCCAGGACCCTTCCAGAACCCCTCAGCGTTTATGTCCCGGACTGCAGAGCAGAGCGCTAAAGGTGCCTCAGGCTGCCGGTTCCCTGACTTTTACCAAACTTCCTTGGAAACGGCTGGGTCAGTGTCGCCTGGGGCTGGCCTTTCCCTTCCGAGCGGCCCTGGGGGGCATCCGGAAGTCAAGTTGGCCTGGAGAAGGCCAGACTGGATGAAAGGCGAGGAAGGAATGTTGGTCTCACCTGAACCTTGGAGGTGCCACCAGCCTCCCTGGGCTGGGTCTTGTGTGAGCTGAGCGCAGAGGCAGGGGCAGCTGCGTCCTTCTGGTCCCCCGTGGGGCTGAGCTCGAGCCCCCGACCCCTGCCCTCTGCCCCAGACAGAGCTGTGGCCACGTCTGGCCCCTTTAGCTGGTGAAGACACGTGCCCTGTGTCAGGCGTGAGGGGAGATCGGTGTTCATGGGCTATCAGGAAAGCCCTGTCGATGAACGCGGATTCATCTAAACCGCTGATCATGAAAAGAGCATGAAAGTGTCTTCTCCAGCTTAGATGCTGCCACCAGAACACGCGTGTTCCCCTCTGAGATTCGGGAGAACCATCTGAAACCCAGCATGCGGCCTCTGGAGAAACACGGTGTGATAATAACTCTCAGGGAGCTCTGGCAGGCTGCAGTCCAAGGGGTTGCAAAGAGTCAGACACAACTGAGCAACTGAACAACAACAAATTAAACTTGAAGGCCCTAAACAGCCCAAGGCAGTGAGTAATTTTAGAATGCTTGGAACTTCAGGAGCCTGAATTAGTTTCTCCATGGTGCAGCCTGGCTGAATGTATAGTCCGTGGGCACCTTGATCTGAAATTTCAGACTCCACAGAAGCCACTTGGAGACTCAGGAAGTCATTCTCGAAGGCAGGTCGCCTCAGAAGACCTGCCCCAGAGTGAAGGTTCCTACACTGCTTAGAACTATTTCCAAGAATCCCTTTTATGAATGTTCTTCTCTTATTTATAGAGAAGTACTGTTGACCCTTAAACAGCATGAGTTTGGACTGTATGAGTCTGCTTACTTGAAAATTTTTTTTGATAAAGATATTGGAAAATTTTTTTGAGATCTGTGACAATTTGAAAAAACTCACAGGTGAACTGTGTGACCTAGAAATATTGAAAAAAATTTAAAAAATTAGGTATGTCTTGAATGTATAAAATTTTATAAAAATATGTGTTAATTGAGTGATTGTATTATTGATAAGGTTTCTGGTCAATAATAGGCAATTAGTAGCTAAGTTTGGGGGTCTTCCCCAGTGGCTCACTGGTAAAGAATCTGTCTGCAATGCAGGAGACTTGGGTTGCATCCCTGGGTCGGGAAGATCCCCTGGAGAAGGAAATGGCAACCCACTCCAGGATTCTTGCCCGGAGAATCCCCACAGACAGGAGCGTGGCAGGGCGACAGTCCATGCGGTCACAAAGAGTCAGACACAACTGGAGCAACTAACATTTTCACTTTCACTTTCAGTTCAGTTCAGTCGCTCAGTCATGTCAGACTCCCTGCGACCCCATACACCGCAGCACGCCAGGCCTCCCTGTCCATCACCAACTCCCGGAGTTTACTCAAACTCATGTCTATTGAATCGGTGATGCCATCCAGCCATCTCATCCTCTGTCGTCCCCTTCTCCTCCTGCCCTCAGTCCCTCCCAGCATCAGGGTCTTTTTCAATGAGTCAGCTCCTCGCATGAGGTGGCCAAAGTATTGGAGTTTCATCTTCAGCATCACTCCTTCCAATGAACACCCAGGACTGATCTCCTTTAGGATGGACTGGTTGGATCTCCTTGCAGTCCAAGGGACTCTCAAGAGTCTTCTCCAACACCACAGTTCAAAAGCACCAATTCTTTGGTGCTCAGCTTTCTTCACAGTCCAACTCTCACATCCATACATGACCACTGGAAAAACCATAGCCTTGATCAGATGGACCTTTGCTGACAAAGTAATGTCTCTGCTCTTTAATATGCTGTCCAGGTTGGTCATAACTTTCCTTCCAAGGAGTGAGTGTTTTTTGATTTCATGGCTGCAGTCACCATCTGCAGTGATTTTGGAGACCCAAGAAATAAATTCAGCCACTATTTCCACTGTTTCTCCATCTATTTGTCATGAAGTGATGGGACCAGATGCCATGATCTTAGTTTTCTGAATGTTGAGCTTTAAGCCAACTTTTTCACTCTCCTCTTTCACTTTCATTAAGAGGCTCTTCTTCACTTTCTGCCATAAGGGTGGTGTCATCTGCGTATCTGAGATTATTGATATTTCTCCCAGCAATCTTGATTCCAGCTTGTGCTTCTTCCAGCCCAGCGTTTCTCATGATGTACTCTGCATATAGGTTAAATAAGCAGGGTGACAATATACAGCCTTGACGCACTCCTTTTCCTATTTGGAACCAGTCTGTTGTTCCATGTCCAGTTCTAACTGTTGCTTCCTGACCTGCATCCAGGTTTCTCAAGAGGCAGGTCAGGTGGTCTGGTATTCCCATCTCTTTCAGAATTTTCCACAGTTTGTTACGATCCACACAGTCAAAGGCTTTGGCATAGTCAGTAAAGCAGAAATAGATGCTTTTCTGGAACTCTCTTGCTTTTTTGATGATCCAGCAGATGTTGGCAATTTGATCTCTGGTTCCTCTGCCATTTCTAAATCCAGCTCGAACTTCTGAAAGTTTACGCTTCATGTATTACTGCAGCCTGGCTTGGAGAATTTGAGCACTATTTTACTAACATGTGAGATAAGTGCAATCGTGTGCAGTTACTTGAACATTCTTTGGCATTGCCTTTCTTTGGGATTGTAATGAAAACGGACCTTTTACAGTCCTGTGGCCACTGCTGAGTTTTCCAAATTTGCTGGCATATTGAGTGCAGCACTTTCACAGCATCATCTCTTAGGATTTGAAATAGCTCAACTGGAATTCCATCACCTCCACTAGCTTTGTTCGTAGTGATGCTTCCTAAGGCCCACTTGACTTCACATTTCAGGATGTCTGGCTCTAGGTGAGTGATCACACCATCGTGATTATCTGGGTCATGAAGATCTTTTTTGTACAGCTCTTCTGTGTATTCTTGCCACCTCTTAATATCTTCTGCTTTGTTTAGGTCCCTATCATTTCTGTCCTTTATTGAGCTCATCTTTGCATGAAATGTTCCCTTGTTATCTCTAATTTTCTTGAAGAGATCTCTAGAGAAATAGATGTAAGGGACTAGATCTGATAGACAGAGTGCCTGATGAAATATGGACAGAGGTTCGTGACATTGTACAGGAGGCAGGGATCAAGACCATCCCCAAGAAAAGGAAATGTAGAAAAGCAAAATGGTTGTCTGAGGAGGCCTTACAAATAGCTGAGAAAAGAAGAGGAGCAAAAAGCAAGGGAGAAAAGGAAAGATACGCCCCTTTGAGTGCAGAGTTCCTAAGAACAGCCAGGAGAGATAAGAAAGCCTTCCGCTTTCACTTTGGGGCAGTCAAAATTTACACGCCGAGTTTTGACTGTGTGGGGGTCAGCACCCCTGATCCCCACGTGTTCACGGGTCGACTGTGTTTGTGAACGGGGCTAATGGCCCCTGGGACACCAGCCCACGAGACCATGCTCATGCCCTGTAGGGTTGGTGGTGGTCTGATGAACACAGGGTTGTCAGCTCGGTAAACATTTTGTGCTTTGGAAACAAACGGCTGTTTTCCGTGCTGGCTCCTCCTTTTCCCGTCTTCTTTCTAATTCCCAAGTCCAGACCTCGGGGTGCTCACTGCATTCCCAGCACCTAACAGGGCAGCTGAAGTGGAAGCAGTCTGTGGTTGCAGGACCCTGTCACCAGTCTCCCTTCCCATCACAGGTGCCGTCTTTGGGGATGGATCTTGTTGGCTCTCAAATCGGACCAGTTATTTCCTCTCTACCTGAATAAGACGTTTTAAAAGAAAACAGCAGTTTCTCTTGCAGTAGAATACTTCTGGGGAGGATTAGGGGTTAACGGGATACAAATGGATGCTATCCAAAGGGAGGACTAAGCGGTCACGTCATAGGTCACTGTAAAGAATCAAAAAATTAGAGATTTGGGTTTGGGCTACCCTGTTTTACTCATTTCACCAACTTGCAATCTTACAGAGACAAAGAATTGGAAAGACAGTTGCTTCAACGTCTTAGAATCTAAGCTAAGTGTAGCCCGTTTCTCAGGTCTGGTGGCACATCAAACCCGACACCTTATTTGTGCATAAAATACATGCCGACAGATATACTCAGTCATGGTGGTCACTCCCGGCCTCTCAGGGACCAGAAGTATGGAGAATCATTCACACGACACAACTGTCCCCATCTCGGGTTGTTGGACCAGACACCTTTGCTGACAGCCTTTGCTGGGCTGTGCTGTAGACGTTCTTGCGAAGGACCCACTGTGCTTCACTGTAAAATCCACACCCCCTGGTAAAACCCACGCCCGGCCCAGAGCCTCTCAGCTGTGTCTTTACGTCCGTCTGCTCATCAGGCTCTGCCCGTGTCTTCTCCTCATCGGGTTCGTCCACATCCTCCCTCGCGAGCAGCCCTCCCAAGTCCAGGGCCACCCACCCCTCCTGGAAGCACTCTGCAGATGGACGAGCGAAGTGTCTTTGCTGATTTGGGGCCTCAGCTTCCAGTGACCGAGGGGCTTGCTTTTGCCGTGGGCTGGATACCAGTCTGTGTTCAGCCAGTGAAGCTTCTGTGCGCATCTGTGTCATCGTGGGGTGAATTCAGAGAGAACGCGCAAGGTCCTGCTTGTGCCCCTTGGAGGTGAATGTAAGAACTCACCTGAGGCGCCCTGTTGGGGTCCGAGGGGTGTTGATCCTTGCTCAGTGCCCAAGGCCACCCTTACCTACAGACGGCTCCTCCTGCCTGGGGGCAGTCGCAGCTCTGCTGAGCTCGAGGCTGGCCGTCTGCCCGCCCGAGAGAGGTGCTGGCTGCAGTGGGTCTGATTAAATCACTCATCTCCGCCCCACCCCTGTGACCTACCTGACTGTCATGGTCAGTCAGGACGGCCAGCGGGCCCGGGGTCCTCCTGGCATGGCCAGGGGCCCATCTGCTTGTGAGGGGAGGGCCCCGCTGACTCTTCGGGCTGTGGGGCACTGACCCCTCCCAGCCTCCACGGTTCTGACCATTGGCTGGAAACGTGCAGAGAGAATGCAGTCCTGAGCCCGATGACCCAGCTTGGCTGCCAGCTTAGCGGTCAGTGGAGCAAAGAAAGGCGTGGCGGGTGCTGGGGTGCTGGCAGCTTGGTGAATTTTATCTCAGAAGCCAACGCCTGCCTGGGCTTCATCCCTTAATGGACCAGCCTGCCACCCCAGCCGGTGTGGGGCCTGACTGCCTTCTCAGAACTGTGTGAGTGTGTGTGTACGTGTGTTCACACACATGTGTGTGTGCACACGTGTATGGGTGTGTGCAAACACGTGTGAGCGCACATGTGTGCATACACGTGTGTGCACACGTGTGTGCGCCTGCACACACATGCCTGCTGTCTCAAGGGTAAAAGGTTCTGGGATGTTACGGCGCCATTGGACCAGAGCGGCGGTGATGGGGTTCTCTGTGACCCCCTGCACCTGCAGCCCACACGGCTCTCTCTGATGGAGATCCGATCCCCACGCGGGGCTGGGCTGAAGTGCGGGTCAACAGAGACCTCAGGTGGTCCCACGGGAAGCTCTGCCCTTCGAAGATTCCTCAAACTCAGGCCTGCTTTCGAAAGGCCGGCAGTGCAGAGGTGTAACTGGGGAGGCTGGCAGAAAGTACGGCACACCAGGAAAGCCACGGGGACGTGCTGTCTGATAGCTCTGGAGACCAGAAGTCCGGGGCTCAGGGGTCAGCAGGGCTGTGGGTCCCTCCGAAACCTGTAGGGAGGGTCTTCCCTGCATCTTCCGGCTTCTGCTGCCCTGTGGCCTGTAGGAGCATCTCTCCAAGATGCCACACGGCATCTTCTTCTCCCCGTGTCTGTGGCCTCTCTCACGAGGACACCAGTCACCTGGGATCCACCCCACCCCTACCCCCTATATAACCTCATCTGAACTAATACATCTACAAAGACTATTTGCAAACCAGGTCGTATTCTGAGAGTCCTGTGGTCAGAAGCCTGGGGGATGCTAGCGCAGACTGTCAGCCTCCTGTGGCTGAGACAATTCCCCAGAAGGTCTCAGCTGTGAGCCATCGACTGTCCCTGAGCTGGGGGTCAGGGCTGTGCTCCGGGGCTAGGAAGTCTGTCGTCCAGACCGTCCGCCCCATCCCTGTCTGCCCTCACCCGGACCTCTTCCCCGGGCTCAGAGGAGGGGGTGAGGTCAGACACACAGGTGCCTGCACTGGGTGAGGATGCTACGTCTCAACCTCACGCTTGGTCCTGGGGGGTGCGGAACCCCTGCCTGTCTGCTGGCCTGCTAACCCCACCGCCTCTGCCGGCCACTTCCTCGGCGCCCTGGACTTGCCCGAGTCCCGGATGCCGTGCCCGCCTGCTGCCTCTTCTCCACGCCTGTCTCTCCCCCTTCAGCTCCTGGTCCCACAGACGGCCCGCGGAGCCGAGGCCTCCTCTGGGCTTAGGGTGGAAGGAACCTTGCCGGAAGCAGGGTCTTAGTGCTGGCAGAGCAAGTGAGCCCCTTTGAGGATGGAACGGGAGCCAGAGGGCTGTGTAGGGGCCGCTCCGACGGCAGGCTCCCAGGGGGTCCACCTGCACACACTGCCACCTGGGCCGGCCGCAGGGTGAGGACCCACCACGACCCTTGCAGGCTCATCCACCTCCAGACAGCGTAAGGCAGCTTGCTTGATCGTCTCACTAGAGACCTTCGCCCAGAACTGCCCAGTCAAGCTCCTGAGTGCCTGATCCCCTGGTTATCCCACTTGAGATTTGGGAATTGAAATGTGATGCATCATAAATGTTCATTGTTGTTTGGAACAAAACAAAGCAAAAGGCAGCGTGCCGGATAATGTGGGATCAAGTTCTCATAAAATCAAGGACTGAACCGTGCACCTGAGACCAAGCACCCCGGCCACATCTGCCAGGGAGTCCCCATGGGGCGTCCAGCCCAGCCCGTAGGGTCCTCAGTGGCTCCTAAGATGAGAAGGTACCCTGGGGCACAAAGTGTCCCCTCCAAATCCGTGTGCTTCCTGGAACCTCAGGATGGGGCTTCTTAGGAAGCAGAGCCCCTGCAGACGTCCCAGGTGTGGTACGCTGTGGTCACAGTGGAGAAGGCGGGCCCTCCGTCCAATATGATCCCGGCCCTTCTCGGGGGAGAGAGGTGCTGTGGGAAGAGGTAGGCCTGGGTCCAGGGACGGAGCACCGAGGATGCCGGGCGCTGCGCGAGGGGGAAGGGAGGACGCAGCTCCGCCAGACCCTTGATCTCGGCCCTCGGCCTGCACACTGCAAGGGTCCATTCCCGTGATTGAGGCAGCCTGGGACACGGACACAGGGGGTCCAGCCACTTCTAATGGGCGCAGGAGCAGGCGCTCTCAGAGGGACGCTCAGGGTGGGGCGTGGGGTTTGGGGAATCGGCGAGGAATCCAGGCAGGTGGGGGCCACTGAGGGCTTTGTGATCATGCAGGGCTCGTGGTCCGGGTCGGGGTCTGGGGTCTGGGGTCCGGGGTCCGTGGTCTGGGCCAGGGTCTGGGGTCCGTGGTCTGGGCCAGGGTCTGGGGTCTGGGGTCTGGGGTCTGGGCCAGGGTTTGGGGTCCGGGGTCTGGGGTCTGGGCCAGGGTCTGGGGTCTGTGGTCTGGGCCAGGGTCTGGGGTCCGGGGTCCGTGGTCTGGGCCAGGGTCTGGGGTCTGTGGTCTGGGCTGGGGTCTGTGGTCTGGGCTGGGGTCTGGGGTCCATGGTCTGGGCTTGGATCTGGGGTCTGGGGTCTGTGGTCTGGGCCAGGGTTTGGGGTCCGTGGTCTGGGCCAGGGTCTGGGGTCTGTGGTCTGGGCTGGGGTCTGTGGTCTGGGCCAGGGTTTGGGGTCCGTGGTCTGGGCCAGGGTCTGGGGTCTGTGGTCTGGGCTGGGGTCTGGGGTCCATGGTCTGGGCTTGGATCTGGGGTCTGGGGTCTGTGGTCTGGGCCAGGGTTTGGGGTCTGTGGTCTGGGCTGGGGTCTGTGGTCTGGGCCAGGGTTTGGGGTCCGTGGTCTGGGCCAGGGTCTGGGGTCTGTGGTCTGGGCTGGGGTCTGTGGTCTGGGCCAGGGTTTGGGGTCCGTGGTCTGGGCTTGGATCTGGGGTCGGGGGTCTGTGGTCTGGGCTTGGATCTGGGGTCTGGGGTCTGTGGTCTGGGCCAGGGTCTGGGGTCTGTGGTCTGGGCTGGGGTCTGTGGTCTGGGCCAGGGTTTGGGGTCCGTGGTTTGGGCTGGGGTCTGGGGTCCATGGTCTGGGGTCCATGGTCTGGGCTTGGATCTGGGGTCTGGGGTCTGTGGTCTGGGCCAGGGTCCGGGGTCCGTGGTCTGGGCCAGGGTCCGGGGTCCGTGGTCTGGGCCAGGGTCTGGGGTCTGTGGTCTGGGCCAGGGTCTGGGGTCCATGGTCTGGGCTTGGATCTGGGATCTGGGGTCTGTGGTCTGGGCCAGGGTTTGGGGTCCGTGGTCTGGGCCAGGGTCTGGGGTCTGTGGTCTGGGCTGGGGTCTGTGGTCTGGGCCAGGGTTTGGGGTCCGTGGTCTGGGCCAGGGTCTGGGGTCTGTGGTCTGGGCTAGGGTCTGGGGTCCATGGTCTGGGCTTGGATCTGGGGTCTGTGGTCTGGGCCAGGGTTTGGGGTCCGTGGTCTGGGCCAGGCTCTGGGATCCAGGCCAGGGTCTTGGCTGGGGTCTGGGATCTGGGCTGGCCCAGGAGACGGGACTGAGGGGGTTGAGTCCTTCCCTCCAGGGACGTCAGTGGCGTTCCAGCACCTTCTCCTCCACCCCGCACCCCGCGCTGGGCTCCAGCCCTGGGCTCCAGCGGCAGAACGGCAGTTCATTTTTCCTTCTCAGTTGCAATTAGGCTTCCAAGCGGGGCGGGCCATCCCCTCCATCCCAACTGGAGGCTGTGGGCGCGTGCGCAGGGCGAGCCTCGCCACTGGGCACCACTTTATTCAGGGGCTCGGGCCTGGGGCGCGAGGGCCTTCTTTCTGCAGCAAGACCCACGCCTGCATGTGAAACGCTGTCAGGGCCCCCATCCTCCAGGGCTGCTTCTCTTTAGAATAACAAAAACACATCAGTGGTGAGTTTCAGGGTTAGTTTTAATAAAAGAAAACCCTTTAATTTACATATATTTCAGGCTAAGTAAATGAAAATGCATTATATTGCCACTGTTCTAGGGAATAATGAGCCACAGCTTCAGAAGAACATGTGCCTTTCGGAGTCTGCACCCCCCGCTCTAGGGAGGGGCCCGGGGCCTCGCTCCTGCTCTGTGATCTGGGCCGAAAGTGCCCTCACGGGAGGCTGGGGGACAAACGGATTTGACGTCCAGCTGCAGACCCAAACCTTTTCACCCAGGGCATATGCAGGTGCATGGAGCTTGTTTCCATAGGGCAGGGCGGCCCTGAGGTGGGCAGTTCTGTCTCCTGAGAGCCGGGCTGGTGGCATTGGCCCTCTGACACCCACACAGAGGCAGCCGGGAAACCAAAGAGAGGACGCCCGTGCACATTCAAGCACACACATGCACACACACATACACATGCACAAGTATACACATGCTCACACACGCACACAGTTAGGTGCACACACAGACATCACTTCCCTGCACTGTAGTGGAAGGAGCGCATCCTTGGGAATCCCTGAAAACCATCATTTCCAGACTTTAGTGGAGCCTGGCATTCCCCGTCCTCTGAAGGCTCCCCCCGAGAGGCCGTGCTGGAGCCAAGGGGTGTCGTGAGGCACGTGGGGCCTCAGTCCGGCCCCGAGGACCATCGTCAGCTGGTGGTGCTGTCACTGCGAGTCCTTCGTCACAAGCACCTGGCCAACCCTGGTGGCGGCCAGGCTTACCCCTCCAGGAGGACGCCCCCTTGTCCACCTCAATAAAGAGGATGGCTGGAAAGGGAACCTGCCGGTAAGCAGCGCAGGGATTGCAGCTAGAGAAACGCACCCACGGCCACTGTGGGCCAGGACTCAAGGGTCTGGGGCCAGGTCCAAGCGGTGTCTATTGGCGTGAGGATGGGGGAGACTTGGCCGGGGTCGCTGATCGTGAGGATGGGGGAGCCTTGGCCGGGGTCGCTGATAGGAGGTGGGTTTCCGTTTTCCATAAATCAGGCGCTGGTGGGGCCTCCTTCTCTCGCCTCTTAGGTCTCGCCTTCCTGTGGGTGCAGATCTCAGGTCCTGGTTTTGTTTTGGGTTAAACCCCTTCGGGGCTCTCAGACCTCAAGCGCTCGTTCGGGGCTGGGGGTCAGCAGCTCAGAGCCCCGACCTGCTCCTCCGGGCGTCTGGGGCCTTCCCCGGGCGCGGAGGAGGCGGCCTGGCGCAAGGAGCGGTGACGCGGCCCCGGAGCGGCGGCCCGGCCCTGGAGCGGCGGCCCGGCCCCGGAGCGGCGACGCGGCCCTGGAGCGGCGGCCCGGCCCCGGAGCGGCGACGCGGCCCTGGAGCGGCGGCCCGGCCCCGGAGCGGCGACCAGGCCCCGGAGCGGCGGCCCGGCCCCGGAGCGGCGACGCGGCCCCGGAGCGGCGGCCCGGCCCCGGAGCGGCAGCCGGCCCTGGAGCGGCGGCGCGGCCCTGGAGCGGCGGCCCGGCCCCGGAGCGGCGACGCGGCCCCGGAGCGGCGGCCCGGCCCCGGAGCGGCGACGCGGCCCTGGAGCGGCGGCCCGGCCCCGGAGCGGCGACCAGGCCCCGGAGCGGCGGCCCGGCCCCGGAGCGGCGACGCGGCCCTGGAGCGGCGGCCCGGCCCCGGAGCGGCGGCCCGGCCCCGGAGCGGCGACGCGGCCCTGGAGCGGCGGCCCGGCCCTGGAGCGGCGGCCCGGCCCTGGAGCGGCAGCCGGCCCTGGAGCGGCGGCGCGGCCCTGGAGCGGCGGCCCGGCCCCGGAGCGGTGGGCGGGGGCTTCACGGAGGGGGCGGGGCTTTCCCACTGGCCCGGCAGGGCGCAAGAGGATGGAGCCGGCCACCTGCAGGCCACGGAGTGCCGGGTGGCCCCCCGGCACCCTCAGAGCTGCAGCTGCAGCCTCGGTCCCCTGGCCTTTCAGTGACATTTGCACCCCGGGCAAGGACACACTGTCTTCTCTCTGTTTCCCCAGTTAATCAGGTGACTTGAAACTAGAAAATAGCAGTTTACCCTGACGACGCCCTGATGACACGTCTGGGGAGACAGAGAGAAAGCTCGCTTTCTGAGCTGTGGAGTCACTAGTGAGGCCTGGAGTCACCGCGTTTCTAGGTTAACGGCCACAGAAAATCTGGAAAGGGACAGCTATAATTTTCCTCCAAAAAGTGCTGCTTTTTCACTCTCGAGACAATAAAATGCCCATGAAGGAGCTTCGGAGGGCCCTGTCTTGCAGCTCAATGGCCTGATAATTTCCCTGAAGGCGGTCTGTGCTCCTATTCGAAGGACACTCTTGTGCATTTGTTAAATCTGGGCGGCAGGTCATGAGCTGGACTCATGCAACCCCTCCCTCCTCCCAGGGGACTATCGATCATCCATGAAGACACGAGCGTCTCACCGGGAATCAGAGATCCCAGCGTGTGCCCGCGTGCATGGCTGCCCGGGCACAGCTCCTGTCTGCTTGGAAAATCCTAAGCAAACACTCAGCAAACAGTACGAGGCAGCCCGCTGCTGGCTCGGCCTTATCATCAAAGTCATGGCAAGACTGTTACTATGAGCCAGGGTAACACTCCTGGGAGCTCCCCAGGTGGCACTCATGGTGAAGAATCCGCCTGCCAATGCAGGAGATGCAGATTAAATCCCTGCATCAGGAAAATCCTCTGGGGGAGGAAATGGCAGCCCACTCAGGTACTCTTGCCTGGAGAACCCCATGGACAGAGAGGAGCCTGGCGGGCTGCGGTCCATGGGGTCATAAAGAGTCAGACACGACTGGAGCAACTTAGCACGCACACAGGCTTGTTACCCTCCTGATGTTTAGAAAAAGGAATCAGACAAATAGTCTGCACCTAGAGGCCGGGGAAGGGCTGTGTTCCTGCTGAAATTTCCCACGAGGGATGTGTTGCTTTTACAACGGTGACATGGGTCCGGCCCCTCTTGTTTTAACTGGATGGAACGGGAGTGAGTCCTGTTAAAGCCTGGCTCCTAGAGCAGCTCTCCTCTGCACCAGACCTTCCTGGGGGAGGGTGCGCTGTGCCTGCAGCCTGCATCCGGGGGTCCATGCTGTTTGTCCCCGGACCGCCCGCCCTGATGGTGTGCTGGTGACAGATGCCTTCTGACACAGTGATCGGAAACTTCTGCCACTCAGAGGGGTCGGGGGAAGGCTGTCTTAGAATCTTCCTCTTCCTCTTTCTCTCCCCATGGGGACGCAGCCTGGCCAAGCTTGCCTGAGCGGGTCCTCACGGGGGCTGGACGGGGTGTGGAGGCTGAGCAGCAGCAAGGCTTCAGAGGGCGATGCTGAGCCGGAAGGGCGCACCTTCCCGGAGAACCCTGGGTCCTCCGTGCCGAGGGGCCTTGAGCTGGGAGGGGAGGGCCAGGGTTGCAGAGCAAGAGAGAGGACCTCCCGGGTCCGTGGGCAGTGGGTGGGAGTCTTGAGTCAGGCACACGCCACTGCTTCAGGAAGCCCTTCCCCAGCTCCTGGTCTTCAGCATGATGTCTGTGATTATGTCAGGGGTGGTGCGTCTCCGTGGATAGCAAGCACCGTGTAGGGGACCGCACTGTCCTTGCTGGGGTCCCCCAAGAACACTGGACCCCTCGGGAAGGATGAACAGCTCATGGTCAGTGTGACTGGGCCCAGGGGCTCCCAGCTACGCCGCTCAGGGACCAAGGCCACAGTCAGAAGGCCCTCTGAGTGTCCCACCCTGAACGCTCTGCAGGTTGAAGCAGGTGACTGCCCAAGATGTTTTTGTTTGATCTTGAATCATCTGAATTGGGATTGTGGGGCTGTTTTCCAAGTGGAAAGCAAAGTGTCTGCTAAGTTCATTCCTTGGGTTACACAAAGCTCACATTTGGGATGAGCTGACATGGGTTAGGCACAGACGACCCCCCACCCACCCAGCTTCCCTTGGCGGGGAGGTCGTCACTGTCAGAAGCGTGATAGCAACTGTCAAAAGTGCATGAAATCAGCCGTGCAGATGGTGAAACAGAAGTCACGTCTGCCTTTGTTCTGTGACAGGGGGAACGTTTCAAATTCTTCATCAAGGAGGAAACGGAATTCCAACACTTCCCCATCTAATAAAGGGGCCCAACCCCTTCTGGAGGCTCCTAGCTGACACTGGGTTGTGCAGCGCAGGTCAGCCCCTCTAGCCCAGGAGGACAGGCTGGTAGACTGTGGGGACATCCTCACCAAATGGTTCTATCTGATGTGAAATCTGAATCCGTGCGGCAGCCAAGACACGTGTTCAGAGGCGACCCAGGCCCAGCCTCCATGCTCCAGGCTCCTGGGTCCTGCACACGGATGGCGGTCTCCCCGCCTGCCTCCTGCACATGGATGGGGGTCTCCCTGCAGAGAAGAGGCTCCCAGAGACCTGCTTTGTTGCCGCCTCCTCCGTCAACCTTCCCGGGCCTGGGACAGACCCTCCCCAGGGCTGTGCAGCTCCGGGCCCCCTTGCTCCCCCACCCCACTGGTCCTCGTGGGGAGGCTGCCTGTGTCCCAGGCGGGAAGACCAGGGGGCCTGGAGGCAGTGAGGCTCGGCTGGTCAGCTGCCCCACGGATTCCTGCGGAGACCATGCAGATGAGGCCTCCAGACGCCGAGAGTCCCTCAGAAGCTCCCCTTCTTGGGGGCAAACTAGGAGTTTCATGTCCTAACCTGGCTCAGAGGGTCGGGGGGGGTGTGATGAGTGTCACGTGTGTGCACGCTCAGCCGCTCACTCGTGTCCGACTTTGTGACCCCATGGGCTGTAGCCTGCCATGCTCCTCTGTCCCTGGGATCCTCCAGGAAGAATCCTGGTGCGGGTTGCCATGCCCTCCTCCAGGGGATCTTCCCGACCCAGGGATCGAACCTGCGGCACCTGCGTCTCCTGCACTGCAGGTGGCTTCTTTACTCCTGAGTCACACGGGAAGCGGAGCTGAGTGTTGGGCGCTCCCAGGTATCCTGCCGGGGCCGCTGTCTTCCTGCCCCTGCTCAGACTAACTGGCACATGAAAGGGCCAGTGGGGCCCGCAACCTGGGAGGGGTGGGGGTGCTCCCTGGAGGCAGCCCTGCTGTCTTCTCTCTCCAGCCACCAGCTGCCCCGGGCGGGGAAGGACGGGGCGAAGGAGCGGAGTGGCGGGTCAGGGGGGTCGCGCCATTCCTGGTTCCCGAGGACCCGCGTGCTGTCTCCATAGAGGCTGCACCCACTGAGCTCCCCTCAACAGCGCATCGGGGTCCCCTTTTCTCCACACCCTCCCCAGCGCTTGTTATTTGTGCTCTTTTGGACAGCAGCCCCTCTGACAGGTACGAGTGGATAGCTCGTTGAGGTTTTGACTTGCTTTTTCCCGGTGAATAGTGATGTTTCCAGGTACCCTTTGGCCATTCATACGTCTTCTTTAGAAAAATGTCTATTCAGGTCTTCTGTGTATTTTTTAATCACTTTTTTTTGTTTCCTTGATGTTGAGTTATA